TTTTTGGAGTGTTTTATACTGGCCTAGGATCTTCTGTGATTTTTCAATGGTCAAAAATATTGTCGAAAGTGGGGCAAAACGGCCCATGGGTGGGGTAAAACGGCCCACCCTCTGTTACATGGGTTTTAAAACCAAAATTAATCAATTACAAGACTCATCCACACACATCTTATCTCAGACGTTCAAACCTTTGACAGATGAAGTATTCTTAACCCCTACCATAATTCTAGTCATTCGATATGTGTCGGAAGGAAATAAGGTACAAACCAAATGTTAAAATCGTTATGTTTGAAAATCAATTGTTCTTGTACAATAAGATTTTTGTATGTTATAACATATGTGGGCCGTTTTGCCCCAAAGACATGTGAATTTTCAAACAGACGTCATTTTAATTTACCTAATATTTGAGGCTCGAAATTTTTACAAATAAAGAATAAATATGCATACTATATGTAAAATGTTAAACCAAAACCATATTCTATTGTTGCCAGATTTTTTTAGAGATACTCGTGGGAGGGGTAATTTGCAAAAAAGAGAGTGAAAAGTAGAATTACCTCTTACGTAAAGCGAGACGCTGCTTGGTTAAAAATGGGGGGGGGGGGGTGGAGAAGGTGGCGGAAATTTCAAAATTCAATTATGTCACTTTTGAAGAATCATCTTTTTATAGTTCAAAAGATATTTCAATGGGCCTCTTTGCCCCAGGGGGCCGTTTTGCCCCATGTTCCCTTGCTCCACTTGAAATAGAAGAAAAAATTGCCAATTTCTTTGAAGATAGGCCATATTTTTATGACCAAGCAAATTCTCTTTACGAGAACAGACAAAAGAAAGATGCAGAAATAGGGAATTTTGCTCATAGCATCGGATGGACAGGGAGTAGACATAGTATTTGTTTATATGAAAGATCTAAAAATGAATTAAGTAGGTCAGGGTGCACTTTGATGAAAAGACCACGTGCAGTATGGCAAGTGATTTAAGACGGTCATATCTTTCACCATGAGAACTTTCTGGGCATAAATACAGTGTTTTTATTAAAACAATATGTTTTCTTTCAATTGAAGTACCCATGATAGTAAAAATATCAATCAAACAATTTGAAAAATTATGAATAGGGACCCCATGTCAACTTTTTTTCTAAATATTGAACCTATTTACTCAAAAGAGGATCTTCTTTTTCTGATTTTTATTGCATGAAAACATTATTATCCTGGAAGTCCTGTCTATCGAAGTATTTCGTTTTCAAATCTTGCATTCACGCCATGTGGAACAGTCATACTGGGTCATACAAGAATTTAGTATAGATCTAGAGGCCTGTAGATCGACCGATGTCCTGGCGGGTGCCGTACGGTCATCGGCAGATAGCCTTGCGATACCCGTGCGATGTCTTTCAGATTCAATTGATTGCGGGCGCCGTGCGATGCCTGTACTAATGTGACCATACTCACGATTAGATCAAGACATCGGTGAAAAGTCACCGGCGCCCGGTCGATTTATAAATCGGCCGATGACTACTCATCGGCCGGCGCCCGGCGGCTATGTGACCTAGGCATGAGATAAAAGTTGCCGATGTCTTGGCGATTTTTTCTCAACTAAATTCATCGGTACCTACCCGGCCGTGTCCCGTCCGGTCATCGTACGATTATCTTACGGCGCCCGGTGGCATCGCACGGTCATCTTGGGATTTTGGGTGCTGATTTGTTTGATAAATCAAATAATGATTACTTATAAAGTGATATAAAGGTTTTAAAAATAATAAGGTAAGGAATTATAATTACTACAGTACACTGTCAGATATTTTTTATAAACATAAATGGAACGATTAGGCTTACTGTAAAACAATGACACACATTTGAATGGCTGGGTGGGTGGGTTGATATTGACATTTATCGGTGTATGTCTGTCATACACATTGAATAGAGTGATACATTTTTATGCGTATATTCACTCATGCATATACCATTACAAATCATTTATCTAAAAAATCTTCTGAATGTTTTTGTGAGTACAGTTTTTTCAAGGGTCACAATTTTAATACGAAAGTTCACTGTCTCAATTACAGTTAATATACCAAAGGCTAAGGATAGAGGGGATAAGGCCAATGGGCCATATATGAGGAAGGCCTTGGGAAGACAGGTGGAAAAAGACAATAACAATGCTAGTGAGCTGATGAATGATGAAGATTTAGATGTGTCTAGGGAAGAGGGTATTCCACTTGAAATAGAAGAAAAAATTGCCAAGTTCTTTGAAGATAGGCCATATTTTTATGACCAAACAAATTCTCTTTACGAGAAGAGACAAAAGAAAGATGCAGAAATATGGAATTTTGCTAATAGCATCGGATGGACAGTTTTAGACATAGTATTTGTTTATATGAAAGATCTAAAAATGAATTAAGGTCAGGGTGCACTTTGATGAAAAGACCACGTGCAGTATGGCAAGTGATTTTAGACGGTCATATCTTTCACCATGAGTACTTTCTGGGCATAAATACAGTGTTTTTAATAAAACAATATGTTTTCTTTCAATTGAAGTACAAATGATAGAAAAAATATCAATCAAACAATTTGAAAAATTATGAATAGGGACCCCATGTCAGCATTTTTTCTAAATATTGAACCTATTTACTCAAAAGAGGATCTTCTTTTTCTCATTTTTATTGCATGAAAACATTATTATCCTGGAAGTCCTGTCTATCGAAGTATTTCGTTTTCAAATCTTGCATTCACGCCATGTGGAACAGTCATACTGGGTCATACAAAAATTTAGTATAAATCTAGAGGCCTGTAGATCGACCGATGTCCTGGCGGGTGCCGTACGGCCATCGGCAGATAGTCTTGCGATACCCATGCGATGTCTTTCAGATTCAATTGATTGCGGGCGCCGTACGATGCCTGTACTAATGTGACCATACTCACGATTAGATCAAGACATCGGTGAAAAGTCACCGGCGCCCGGTCGATTTTGAAATCGGCCGATGACTACTCATCGGCCGGCGCCCGGCGGCTATGTGACCTAGGCATTACTCATATGGCATAAAGTAATGATCTACTCAGAGTCCCACTGAAATGTTGGTAAATGACAATTTAATTAACTTCTCATCGATGCCAGGCTTATAATACGTGAATGTTCCTAAAGGTGGGTAAATATGTCAATAGATAAATTGCTCATATCGGACCTGTAGCCAGTAATGTATTTCTCAATAGTGGTGGTGTTATATTTTGCTTTTTCATAGACATTTGCACCGCACGTGCAATACCTAATTCAGTCCAATTTACTTAATCATATCGTATATTTTTTCCTTAAAATACTGCATGGATCTAAAAGATCTGACCATGAAAAAAAATTATGATCCAAATTTTATCCATATTTTAATCACGCGGTGTTAACTTCGACCGTTAATTTGAATTTTTGAAAAACGGTGCAGTATGAAACTCGCAATCCTTGATTTTCGAGCATCTGGTAGGTCAAAAATTCAAATTAACGGTCGAAGTTAGGATCGCGTGTTAATGTCAAGTTTGCATTTGTTTCTTTTGTCGCCTGTTTGCCCAGGTGAGCCAAACTCAGCACGATAAAATATTGATCGATCATAAAATAATATACCGTTTCTACATTTCTCATTTTGAATTTGATTATAATAAGTAATCCATTTCATTCTGACTCTAATCTTATTTTATGTTTAGATTTAAATTTAAAAAATACACGTCATCATAAAATATTGATCGTAAAAGAATTAATCAATTTCATTTTGACACAAATCTTATTTTATTTGAGATTTAAATTTTAAAAATACTCCTCATCATTGAAATATTGATTCTAATATAAAAGATACACCATTTTTGGCAAAAACGTTATTCAGAATTGAATTAATGATTTTGTATTAATGAAAACTATTGTGCCATGGAGTTTAAATACATCAGATACCCTCAAACTTCACCAAACACCACGCAATAAAAGTGTATGCAACCTACTTGGATGTATAGCATCAGATTTGTTAGGTGTTAGGCTAGACTTGTTTTTCCTAATGCTCAGGACCTGGGCTTAGACCTATAGCCTACTAGGATGTGCAGATCTGCTAGACTCATTCGGAACATAATATTGACTGGCGTTACTAACTTCTCAAACTACTCACATATGGACAAATTATATATAATGACTGCCCAGTCTCACTGAAGTGTGGTCAAATGACAATCTAACTAACTTAATTATCAATCTAATCTAATGCCATTCCAAAATATATCCCGTGTCTCTTTTAAGCAAACCATTTAATGGGCCTTTTGGGCATTATTTTAAATTTAAATCTCCGCGCAAGTGCAGATTTTTTTCTGGTTTGAAATGTGCCCCCCCCCCACCTTGTTGTTAGCTTCTTGATCCGCCAGTGATTGGTACCAGTAAACTGAACATTTCGCAATTACCACACTACTGTTCAATATTTTGCTTTGGAACTTGGCAAGAATACAGCACTTTCTTTTTTCTCATCAATTTGAGATGTCAAAATTGTTTAATTTTTAAATTAAATGTCTGGAATCTGGAGTCTTAAATTGAACTTTGTTCAATTTCACCCATCTAGTTCTGTTCAGCTATAGCCTCCACTCCATCTTTAATTTTTTACAGTAAACAAACATAAGTTACTAAGATAATATTGGTACTGTTACTAATGATAATTTTTTGAGTGTAACATTTAATTTGTAAATATGAAAATTATCATGAATTGGTCTCGCCCTAGAAAGGCCAACTATGATTTTTCTTTATTAACCCCCCCTCCCTGAAAATGCCTTAGGGGTATAAGATGACACTTTTACAAAATGAGGCTTGTACATCGTCGTAGAGGCGGCTAAAATTGCTTGAAATATCATATAGTAACACCCCACAAATGCTCCCCTTCCTTGACGATACTGTACGATACTGACGATGTATTGTTGTAAGCCTTATTCGAATATCCCATTCAGAAAAGTTTTGTTTTTAAAGTTAGACTACAAAGGTCAAATCAAGGTCAACGTGACCTAGGGGTAATTTTCTATCAAAATTTGGTGCCAAAAATAATATATATTTCTTCAAGAAATAATCTATCATCTTTAAAATAAAACAAAAATCAAGATAAACCCGAACTTATGCACTTTTAATTAAAGATACATGTAGCAGTTATCGCGAAACCCATTGAAATCGATGATAATCGAAATTGAATACTGGTATTTAAAACATTTCAAGTTTAACTTGTTTTTTAGCATTCATATTTCAAGATGTACAACAAATACCAATCTGCAATTTTGTAAGAAAAAACACCTAATTTTACCCAACACATATGTTTGGCCAGTTTTGTCCACAGTTGTTTCCCATTTTATCACGTTTGTCCAAAATTAATCAAACAATAAGTTCCCATCACTTCATAAGCCGTCATAAGGAGAACTAAAATAACTGACATATTCAGTCAACTCGGTCCATGTAAAGTACGTTATCGATTTGTTGTTTGCTATTTAATTTTGTTGAGATAGGACCAGAGCGGCCATAATTCATAATGGTGTTATTTCAGAGCAAAAACATCCCGTGCATATTTCAACACATAATTAAGCTGTTCTCCTTTGAAGATCTTTTTTATCAGACCCACTATTTTCGTCAGCCCATCAAATGAGAGTGATACTCTGGGTAAATGTGCATCAATCATATCGTTTATTTGGAAGTCAGAATCATGTGGCCAATTGCTGCGATCAATTCTATCACGCCGAGTTGAAAGCTCTTTCTTTTTGAAGGGAACATTTGAATGAGTTTTTTGATATTCATAAAGTTTTTGACTTATCAATCTTTCATCTACATAATTTGCAGTCGTGATTTCAGAGTTGACAATGGCACCGAACTTATCATAGTTTATTTTGTGAAGTATTTTATCAATGCCTTTGACTTTGTTTATTTCCTCGTCTCTTTCTTCATGAACGCTCTCATTGTTTACTCCTTTAAAATAATTATCTACCTTCATTACATCTTTCCATCGGTCCATGGTCATTGAGATATGACACATTGCATAATGTGGGATTTTAACTCCATCGTAGTCAAACGTTCCACAACAAAACGCATTTGTTATTAAGATCTCGGACGAACTATTGTATTTCACGTAGTCTCTACCTCGCTGTTCAAAAAGCCACAAATCAGCGTCAGTCGTCATTATGATGTCATCAGGTTTTAAACCTGGGACGAAATACGCTACCAATAATCTTGATGTCATAGCAATCAATGCTTGTAGTTTATGTGTGGTTTCAAGAAAGATCAATTTCACATTAGTGTTCATCTTTAAGTGTTTGAGAATTACTCTTAACGCTGGATCTGTTGCCCAAGTTGAATAATTCCCAGTTATGACGACTATACTTTTAAAGTTAAGTTTGGCATACACCTGTACGGTAACTGGAAGGTAAAATGCATAATTCCAGGAAATGTCTCCATCAATGGTTGGATCCGGAGTTGATGTTGTCATGACAACATACTTTGTTATCTTGTTGTTTTGGGGGGTTTCAAAATCCTTAACTCTGGATCTAGTTTCTTTAAGTTCTTCATTTTCGAGGGACTTCGCATTGAATGTGTTTTGTTGCGAAATGCTAGCTTCATTTTTGTAATATCTGAAAATATTAAATTATTAATATATAAGGGTTATGTACTGGGAGGTTTTGGATATGGGGTTTATCCAGAGGGAGATATGCATATCTACCTGAGGGACCGTAGGGACCGAAGGTAGATGTGCATATCTCACGAGGGATGAACCCAATATCCAAACCGACCGTACATAACTGCTTTATCCTATACCAAGTAGAGTTTTCTAATTTTCTTTCATTTTTTTTATTTTTTCAATTTTTTCATATTTTTCTAATTTCTTTTCAATTTTTCAATTGTTTCTATTTTTTATTCAAATTTTTTCTTTTTTTCAATTTTTTCTTATTTTTTCAAATTTTTATCGAAGCGGGAAGATATGCCCTGGAGCGGGAGATATGGCGGGAGATATGGAGGTTCAGGATATGGAAACCTCAAAATCAGGATACGGGATATATCTTACCAACTTATCTCCCTAAAACTCTACTTGGCATAGGATAATGAGACATATTATCTTTAAGGATAACACTATCGTTTAGCAAATCGAACACACGTTTTTGGTATCGCTCACTGTTATAGGTATGAAGATCCCCATCTCAGACTCAATGGTAGACAGTTGAGGTCAATGTGTAAAGATCTCTGCCTGTTCATGTAGTAATGGTGTAGAATGGGACACTGTACGAATTAAAAAGGGGAATTTTTATTTTGACAATTCAATTTCACATTCTATGGGTCAAGTTGCAGAATCTTATATTTGTGTGGTTGAATGAGGAAATGTTGATATAACTATCACGTTTAGGTACGAAGCATGGTCTTACAGACATATCATAACAATGTGATATTGGAACATAACAAGTAAAGAATATTCATTGAGCTCCTATTTCAAAATGATCTGGCCGGTATCTACACTGAAAATGACCCACTTGCCGTATCAATTTGAGGGTGGGGTCTTAGAACTTTATCAATCAAGCCCATGCCCACATCGTTACCATGGTGTAAAGCAAATAGTGGAACTCCACCTACAGAAATCCTTGCTACGGACCTGACTGTAATGTATGCCATACTCACCTGCAGAGTATGCGCAGGTGAGTATGGAAAATCACACACCTATTTCCATCTCGAAAATTTTAGATAATCGGCCAAACGGTTTGCTCACACCATAAAGATGCAGTAATACGTATTATGAAGCATTTTTAACAAAATAACAGTCCCAAATTCAAACTCAGTCACAGTCAAGAAATTGCAAAATGGCTGCAATTTTCTAACCTGATAGGAAGTCATTGAATTCAGTTGCCATGTTTACACTTTACTTGGTCTCACACGCCTAACCATCGACAACGTACAGCGACAAAATATACCGTCGTGCACTTTAGATGTACGGTGTCACTATTAATTTTAACTAATATGAAGCAAAAACGATGATGTAGGTGTGGTGTAGGTTTTAAAAATTAATCTGAGGAATACTTAAAGGATTTTATGTTTAATTTCGTGTGTATTTGATTTGTAAGACATTTACCTTTCTAATTCCGTGAAAATATGAGAATATGTTTCCCAAAGTTACATAATTAAAGCGGCTCTAAGGTCTGTGGAGAGAAAAATGGAGAAATTTTACCTTTTCTGAGCTATCGGGGTGAAGTTTGGTCCAACATCTTCTTCCTTATTCCTATTTTATAAAAATGTATGCATATGGCAATATTCATCAACCAGTAGAACTGGCAAATCGTTTAGAATCTACAATTTCATACAAGGAGTCCCACTCATAGATTTTTCAAATTCTTTCCAAGTCGACGTCGAAACACCTAGCGGGTGAAATTGAAACTAATTTTCTGGCTGCTCGAATCGATAAAATCTCTGATAGTGTGAGTCTTTTTATGAAATCGTTCTGATAGAAAACACTTAATTAATATTAGAAAGCATTAAATGTTGAATCCGAAGCGTAATCTGAAATAAAAGTGAAAAAACATTGCGCGGACGTCAGAGAAAAACTTCCGGTTTAATAAAAAATGGCGGACGTCGAAGGAGAAATTATGACGAAGAATTAGAGGATTTTCCTTTGCCATTATCGATCGTTATAAGGTATGTGCACAAATTCTAGTAGCATACATGGAAAATAGATACATTTTTAAAGGCAACAACATATTCAAAGCTTTCATTTTACGATAGGCCCAGGATCATTGGATACGACTCGGCAATCGATACTCCCACTTTAAGGTCGGTTGAAGATTTAATAAATATTCACGTTTTTGCTAAAATAATAAAAATTAAAAAAACATAAGTGTACGTTGTCATCTCGATGTACGTTGTCCCATTGAACTTACATATCTGAATTCACAGTTAACTCTTATGTAGACAACGAATAACATAACACTAAGGGGCAGGGGATCAGATTCATTTAAAACTGAAACGGAACGATCCAGTATTACTAATTCAACTTGATTGAATTTTATTTAACCTCTGCACTTTCCAGATATAGCATAAACGGGATTTCGAAAGTCATCTTCGATTAGCTAGTATAGATCTCTCCATGAACTCCTTAAGATTATTAAAATGCATAAAAGTGCAACATAACGTAACGTACCGACGCCGAATGGTCAAAGAGGTTGGAAGATAACACTCCATGGTCAAATATTAATCACCATTTCAACACTTTCACAAAATAAAATAGCATTCAGCAAGAGGTAAAAATCACTTTTACCTGTTTATCTGTACCAGGGATACATGAACGTGTTCGTTGAACATCACTTGTTACTCATAAAACCCTTAATGCCTTAATAATAAATCATCGCATTGTTTACTTTTCAATTACAGGGACAATGTACATTGGAGATGACAACGTACATTTTTTATTTTTTAAATTATACCAAATACATGAATATTTATAAAACCTTCAACCGTCTTAAATTGTATAGGTTAGAGAAACATATTCTCATGAAAATATTCGGCACTCTTAGACGACAGGGGAGAAAATGATCAAAGGAAATGTGTAAAAAACACATTTTTCCAACCGACCAATCGCATAGGTAGATTAACAAGTCAATGAAAAAAATCGAGCACAGCTGGAATATCTTTTAACGTAATTAGAAAGGTAAATGTCCTCAAAATCGAATACACACGAAATCAAACATGAAATCCTTGATGTAATCCTCAAATTGATTTTTGAAAACCACAATCAAACCTTCATCATCGTTTTCGCTTCAAATCAGTTGATAGTGACACCGTACACCTAAAGTGTACGATTGTATATCTTGTCACTGTACGCTGTCGATGGTCAGTCGTGTCTCACAGCCACACAAACTTATACTACCATGATGAAAGTATACAAGGAGTATACGCCATACATTATGAGGTTGCAGAAGAGATTTGAAAATGACAACTGATTCTTTATGACAACTCCAAACGTGGGCGGCCAAAGTCATGGTGGAAAAAAGTGCCAGGAAAGGGTGAGAAGGCAACAAAAGTTCATAACTGTAAATATATTTAAAGTATTGCAAGCATACCCTAGTTACATCATAAATGATTGCTCTGATTAAATCATCCAACAAAGTCACACTTGAGAGATTCCAAGATGGTTGAAATTCCAAAAGAGAAGAAGCTTTCACAGTTCAGAACTGCCATTAGATCGGGGGGGGGATACTCACATATATTGGCTATATGGGAATGTGCCGCTAAAGTGGGTCACTTTTTCGCAGAAAAATCAGATGTGGGTCCCATTTTGAAGAAAAAAACCTAGAACTGGGTTTACTTTTTGAAAAATCCTAAAACTGGGTACTGTTTTTAAAAAAATCGCCGTAAGTGGGTCTTGTTTTTTAAAAATTACCTTGAAGTGGATCTATTTTTGAAAGAAAAACATAAGTGCACTCTTTGTGCAAAACTGGAAGATATAGACAATGTGGAGAAGGAGTGATTCTTGTTTGAAAAATAACATGTGACTCAATTGAGGAATGCAGAAAATTTCCCATCATGCACCCTGACCTTAAACAAGAATTCTAGACCATATATTGAGAAAATCAAACTGAGGTTAAGATGCAATATATAGATCCTCATTTGCTCATGTTAGGGGACATTTGGGTAAGAAGGACGGTGGGGCAAGGCGGGCCACCAAGTTTATTTTATCGTTTTCAAATCTATATAAAAATTTAAAACCACGCAGTGTAATTCCTTCACACCTTACAAAGTGAACAACAAATGTTCAAAGATCATCCATGTCAAATAATATGATGCCAAAATAATAAAAATTGACGATATGAGAGCAAAAATTTCGAGACTAAATACTAAAAAATTCTTTTGGGCTTATCCCGCAGACGGTGTATCCTCTACCAATATTTCAATACATACCTATAATTATATGCCAATAATAGCAAATTAATGAGAGTCACCGCTTGAATTAATCTTAATCTTATTACATACATTGTCTTTTTATTTTGTTAGTCCTGTATGCCCGGGCCTCTACGTCCAAAAAACTTTATTTTTTATCCAAATACGTTTGTTTGGTGCAAATACGATTGCTATAACTGTATTGATTGACGAGATGTCCAAATGATTCTCGAACTTAGTGAAAATTGATTTTCGCTCAGTTGCTTCGGTAGTAACCAACAATTGAATGTGAGGCTGAATCTTTAGTCCCGATGTATATATTATAATCGAGAGCGCTGATTGGTCAAATCTATGGTTATATCACTGATTTAATAAATCATCCTTAGGGCCAGTTTGCAGTGTGGTCAATGATAATTGAATAATTATTACGTTACTTATAAATACAACAGTTGTCCACATTGCACACCCTCTGCAAAGCTGGGTTTTCCAATCAATTGTGTCTCATTTACTCCAAAATATGCAACCATTCCTTTGTGCAACAGTGCTGTCATGCCAGCATCCCGACCCTGTACGAAAAAATGACCATCAGCAATAATCAGTTTCTTTAATTATCGGATTCAAGGGGGTTCGTATTACAGATCCAGCGTCACTATAAAATATGGCACCATATTTCGTGACAGCGTCTTGGAGAACCAGCGTTTTCCATGAAAAGTTTTCTACTTTCCTTTTTTATACGGTCAGGTGTGTTTACAGGCAAGTCATTAATCTGAACATTACACCAACCTCCAGCTTCTTTTTTTGTTCTGGTTGTAATCCAAGATCGTAGACTATAACAGTCATGTTTGGTTCCCAGTAATGAATAGAACCAGCAAATTCAATGAGTCCGGAAAAATATTGACAATTTGCAGCTTTTACGATTTTAAAATCTGATATCATGAAATTTGTTTTCAAAGTTGATATCTTTTCTCCTGGGAAATCATCTGTTATAACACCATTTGTAGAGTGTCGAAACAACTATTATAATTATAGTCGCACAAGGTACAATTTTCTTTTAAGACATTTATGAACTTCATTTTTGTATTTTCAGTTTGATTTATTGTAATTCTATCAGCTCTCTCTCTTTTTGAAGACATGAATTCTGAGATGCTATTGTATTGTATGTTTATTTAAAGGCCCACTATACTTAATTTAGAAGAAAAGAGGAAAAAGATAATCAGTGAAACTTGTTACTCACACACTCGCTCAAATATTACACACATTTACTTTAATATTGAACCAAGATACTAATAACTCACATAGAAAAAAGCATTTGAAGTTCAAAGATCATTAGTAGTGCACGTACATGCTGCATGTTTTAAATTACTTTTGATTTTAAAGATGGTTTTTTTAAGGTTAAGTTTTATTTCTTTGCATAATTTTATATAACAATATTTAACATACTAGGAAGGCCGAGGTAAAATTACATTGTTGGCCTCCCTATTAAATAAAAGTAGCAAAATAAAGTTGATATAAATGGTTTCAGACATGTATTGTAAATGTATTGTTTATAAGAGTCTCAGTGGCCACAGTTGAGATGATGATAACAATAGTGATGATGATGGTGATGAAATGTTGAGGCTAATGCTAAATGATAGAATCAACAAATTTGCCGTAAGGTTCATAATATCAGCATTACATTTATCTGAGAACTTATGATCTCCAAAAAGTATGGTGTGGACTTTATCTACACTATTTAGACTGGCAAATTCTCTAAAGTTAAAATTTTGCAGCTCTTGTAGTTTTTGGGTAAAGATTGACCTTGTTCCAGTTGATAGAGGGCAGTAAAGTAATAAATGGGACTTGGTTTGCTGGGCATGTCAACAAGGGCAACTTGGGTCTGGATAGTTGTTGAAATTATGCCTAAAAAAGTCTGATTTAAGTGCTAGGTCTGCTCTTAAACGGTTTAGTTTAATTTCAATAGATCGATTTAAGTTCAATTTTGTTGTCAACACAGACCTAGGGTTTGGGTTATATTTGGTTTTCTTATACCTTGACTTGAAGGCTGATATTGAGGGGCTGCGTTTAACTTCAGGTGAAATCATTTTCCATATTCTTATTGGTGCTATGGCAGGAGAGTTTGTAAATTTCATTGAAGATTTTGCTGGAATATTATATTCGTGCTGGGCACGAAGTACACGCTCTGTACCTGGATTTTTAAGTTCATTGTATATAGATTGTACGTAACTAGGAGTCTTGTTTTTGGATACCTTATACATTAGAGTTGCCATTTTTTCTTCTCTTCTCTGACTTAGTGTCTTCCAGTTAAGTGAATTTAAGACTTTGATTTCAGAGGAGCCCTTAATGGCCCCAGAGACTAACAAGGCAGCTCTGTAGTGTAACCTATCCAAGGTATTTAGGGCATAATGTGGTGAACAATTATAAAAGATTGATCCGAATTCTAATTTTGGCAAAATGAACGATAAGTACATTCTTTCAAGGTGTTTGGATGAAATTTTATTTTTCAATGCTGTAAGTGGATTTAGCATTTTATCAATTTTGACTTTTAGCTGGGCTAAATGTTCTTTGAAGTCAAGGTGGTTATCTAAGATAACTCCAAGATGTTTATGATAATTTACTCTTTCAATTATTCTGTTGCTCAAGGTCAAAATAGGAAAGTTTCTTACATTTTGAATAGATTTGGAAAAAATTATCTCTTTGGTTTTCGTGGGCTTAAAGTTAAGCCCCCAAACCCTTGACCAGTCATAGACATTGTCTAGATCATGTTGTAATAATGTATTTGATGTTAAAACATTTTCAAACTTGTGAACGGGGACATATATAGAAGTATCGTCAGCATAAATATAACATTTTGATTGGATGACCTCTGGGAGATCATTTATAAATAGCAGAAATAGGATGGGGCCTAGAATAGAGCCTTGAGGCACACCAGAGTTTATAAAATTTTCTTCAGAAAATTCGGATAAAGATCCATTAAGGCGTGTGCATACTCTTCTATTGTCTAAGTAGGATTTCATAAGTTTCAACAGGTTATCATTGAAGCCATAAGATTTTAGCTTGTGGATAAGTAAATTATGTCTGACTTTATCAAACGCAGACTCGAGGTCCAAAAAGACTCCCCGTACATCCGCTTTGTCTTCAAATGCATTCATTATAAAATTAGTAATACTTAGTAGCTGACTGTCAGTGCTGTGACCAGGCAGGAAACCTGATTGATTTTCATATAATAACTTATTATCTAAAAGGAACTTCATCATCTGTTGATGCACTACTTTTTCGAATAATTTGGATATATTACTAAGTAATGTGACAGAGGCCTCATCATCCGCTCGTCGCAACGCAGATTCGCAATTGCACCGCAACGCAACGCAAGTTTTGGCGAATCGCAATCAGGATTTGTATCATCCGCTTGGCGCAACGCAAGGCAATCGCAAATGGGAAGATGTTTCAATCGCAACTGACCAAAAAGCTGCGATAGCTCCTACCCTGCCGCAAATCAATCGCAAATATTACACATCTTTAAGACAATTGTTATCTATTTTAAATGTGTCAATCTAGGGGTTTCTCTATTGATTGCGTAAGTATGTTCTTTTCTCAAGGTGACTGTGTAATAAAATGTTAGTTTATGTTTTTCGAAAGTGCTTAAATCAAAGGAATCGTTAATGATATGGAGGGTGTTTAAACCTTCGAATTTTATAATTAAATCCAAATCCTGATCGCAAATTCAAGAAAACGAAACACAACACTCATTCCGGCATCGCTAAAAATAGGCATAACTTTGCAACAGGCAACTTACAAATGACAAATAGGGACTTATTTAATTTGGAATAACCCAAACATCTGTCTCGAGGTGGTGGGAGAGGTGTCAACTATTATGTCAAGGTACACTCGTCAGTCAGTACACGCTCTCATCCGAGTGTACCTTAACCGAGTCAAAATTTCTTCTGTACAGACTTTCATCTGAGTGCATCCTTCTCAGTATACTCTCCCACCCGTGTGAAACCAAGTAATACATACTCTTACCTGCAACCCGGGTGCACACTCGACAGTAAATACTTTCACCAGACGAGTGCACCGTTGTAAGTACACTCTAATAAAAAACAGTGCACCCTCGTGATAGCACACTCAAAAACGATGAGAGTCACGACAGTGTGAACTGACTAAGGTGCACTCGGGTGAGAGTGTCTGATGATGGTGCACTTGGGTGAGAGTATGTACTGATGAGGGTGCACTCGGATTAGAGTATGATGGCGAGGGTGCACTCGGCTGAGAATGTGTAATGATTGTAATTCAACTATTAATGTGTTTCCTATCGCGAGATCCATGTAATGACTGAATGAAGAATAATACACATAGAAATTAATCCCATGAAGATTGAACTTTAAGATCAGCGTGATTATGTGTGATATCGTTACACGTTGATATTTTTGAATTGAAATAATCACTTTCTATATTTTAAAGTTAAACTCACCTCGAGATAAGTATTTGAATAAGCCCAGTGTGTCATTGGGCATCAAAAAGGTTCTGTGACACGGACATTGTATTTCATTAATATGATTTTCCCGCCAATTTATATATCAAAATATTATTGGAATTCTACATTTTTGCGATCGCATGTGGTAAACTACCACTTAAGTTGCGATCTGCGTTGCGATGAGCGCGTGATAAGACGCAACTCGGGAGTTGCGCTTGCGAAAATTGTCGATTCGCAAACGCAACGCAGACGCAAACGCAAATCTTGCGACGAGCGCGTGATGAGGCCTCTGGTCTGTAATTTGTAATATCAGATTTATCACCTTTATTCTTATAGATTGGAATTATTATTCCATCTTTCCATGATCTTGGAAAAATGTTTTCAGTTAGAATTCTATTTAACAATAAGGCTAATGGTTTGTCAATAGATAAAATGCTCATGGTGAGCATTTTATTTGTAATACCATCCAAACCCTCACTTTTTGATGTGTCAAGGTCAGCTATGAGGGTTCTTATTTCCGATGGTGTGATTAAATTACAAGTCAAAAGGTTGTTTGTTCTATTTGGAAAAAATGGTAATGCATTTGTGTCGCGGGTATTATCAAAGTGAAATTTACCTACGAACAATTTCAAAAATTCGTTTCGTTTTTCTTCATCTGTACTACATATGTTTGTCAAAGATGAATTTCTTAAAGTTGGAATTCCAGAGGAAAATTTATTTCCAAGTAATTTTTTAATAGCGCTCCAATAAAAATGTTCCCCACTTGAATAAGTGTGAAGATTTTCACAAATTTCCTGTTCATGGTTAAGTTTAGCCTTGTTAATAAGATTATTCAACATTTCAACTTTATTTTTATATTTCAACTTTGAATCCAAAGTGTTGTTTCTTTTGAATTTCTTATAATATTTGTCACGGTTATTCACAGCCTTTTTGATTTCGTCATTAAACCAAGGTAAATCTTTTGGTTTCCTCACCTTGATTTTGTGAGGTATGTTATGGTCAAAAATAGACAGTAACTTGGAGGAAAAATTTAAAGTTGACTCATCAATTGTGCCATTATTTATAATGTTGTTCCAATTCACAGAATTTATATCATTATTCAGGGCTTGCTGGTTGCAGTCTTTGTATTGCCAAGTTTTAGTAGTAATTTTAGGTTGATTTTTACTTGTAGCTAGCTGTAAATTACACACTATAGTACTATGGTCACTGCCCCCTATTGGGGCTAGGACTTCAGAACCAATCATGAGGCCTGGAGAATTTGAAAAAATTAGGTCAATGCATGATCTACTATTTTCAGTTATTCTAGTTGGTTGATGAATAAATTGTTCAAACCCAAGATTAGTCATTGTCTCATATAATTTGGTTCCTGCTGTATTATCAATATCATGATCATAAAAGAATTTACTCCTGGCATTAAAATCCCCATTAATTAGTATCATGTCATATTTCCTTTCCCTCATAGCAGTTTCTACACTTTGCTCTAGTAATGTATTAAATTGTTCAATGTCCCCAATCAATGTCTTTGGTGGAGACCTATAGCATGTGCCTAGGAGGATTTTTTTGTGTTCAATGACTATCTCTAACCAACCAATCTCATTGAGTGTGCTAAGGTCATCCCTAGGCTTAAAAGCTAAATTTTCGTCCACATACATTAGAATTCCTCTCCCTTGAAAATTTTGAGGTTGGTATGGTTTATGAAAGCCATCAATCATTAATTTGTCTAAGTCAAGATTTTTCCCTGCTTCACAGACCGAGATTATTTGGCAATTTTGTAATTTGGCTGTTAATCCCAATTCTACAAACCTAGGACTATTTTCACCATCAGCAATTTTACCATTTATGTTACAGGACAATATATTAGTTTCTTGGTATCTTGGCCCTGGATTTACTTCAATGTCGTTAGCCAAAATTATAATTAATCTTATTATTACATTTGAACATAACAGAAGATATGATGCTAACCCTGGTACCATGAACAAGGTTCCTATACAGAGAAATAGTTTACTTTTTGGCTTAACAGTATGTCGACTCACTTGGTAGAGAGCCTGCATAATGGACCATATATATAAAATTGGAATGCTAAGCAAAATCCACCCAGCACAGACAAAAAGTATAAATGACAATGCATGAAAAGGCACATAACACATTTCTTGAATTATCAGTATGAATGTTAATCCCTTAATATATGTTAAAAAACAAAGTAAAATTTGCAGTGGGAAAATAACATCAGGTTTTAATTTGGTCATCTTACCAAAAGAATTAGGACAGCTTCTGTAGGTACAAGTAACTCTAAAGGTCCCTATACATGCCCTCCATTGCATTATATCAATGGAGCCTTTTGAGATAATCCCCAAACCACAAGGAATGCTGCATAATTTGTACTGAAGAATGAGATTGATGACTTAAATGCATGAATGATAAGTGATTGATAGATATTGACACTGAAACTATTTACAAACAACATCACAAGATGTTTATGGAAGAAAAAGATGGTGACACTTCTATAAAAATGAATGTATCATGTAATACAAACAACTTCGCCATCTTTCAATGACATTGATAAAAACTTGATATATAAAGCTTGACAGATCAAAAATATTTTTTGATTAATTATTGTAAGCTTTGATGTTGTCCGCTTAAGCTGCTGTTAGTGTCAAATGAAAGAAAAGGTTCTAATCAATACATTTGACATTCTATAAAATTCAAATGTAAGTCTTTATTTTGCCCCAAAAATTGAAAATACACAAAGTGGGCCTTTAAGAGAGTAATTAGAAAGCCGATTTAAACATTTAAGTACCCCTGCAATTTGAGACAGCCGCAAATGTTTGGGATTAGAGAGAAAGTTTAGGGTGGTGTTTGGAATCGGTTGGGGTAAGAAATATATGCATACATGTTGCTACAGTACAGAACTATTCTAGTTTATGGTCGAATTATGATATATAAACGTAAACGTAAGGTTTTACTGAAGACTCCCAGGCAAACCGTTTCCACGTTTCAGGGATTCATCTGAAATTTTCAGGGATGTTTCTATGCATGAACGTTTAGAACTGATTACTTTTGGACATTCTGGGTAAATGTTAAGGTGTTCAAATTTTTACACATGCTACATGGTGAGAAGTTCCAGAAATGATTAAGTTTTCGGCGGCCATCTTGCTTTCTAGCGGCCATTTTGGAAGTTTTCAAATAAATTTTAGAAAAATGGCCGCAAATCTTTACGTGTGTTGTTTAATGTGTTTTACAATAACTTGTTCATATTTGATTTTTCGAATTTATCAATCACTTAGAATTTTGATAGTGTGCATCGTTCAAAAAAGGGTATTTCAAAACATAATTGGCATCTATAAAAGTATGCCTAGTATTCCCCTATAAACTATTGATTGACTATATCACAAAGGCGAAACATATAAACAAATATTTTATATTTCGATTGATTATATAATACTAACTACATTTAGTTCAAAAAATATACATGTCTTTAAAGATGTAATAAAACCATGGTCAAATGACTTCAAAACGTCTGTGAAAATAACAACATTTCAGAGATCGACATTTTTGTCTTAATATAAATCGTGTTTTAAGGGAAATATTACTAGCTTTGTAGTTAAAATAACAAAAGGACTGTTCTTTATGATAAGTACAAGCTAATCAGAGATTCAGATTGGCATTTTATTACATCTTTAAATGTGAGTCTCAAATTGAATTGAATCGTAATGGTTCAAGTTCATGGCTGGATTAACAATGGCAAGTTCGGCTTTAGCATCGTGTTCTTCTTTGGCCCTCTGTCCAGCAGGTGTGAGTGTTCTATCTACTAATGCTGGTCCCCACTCTGGCGACGGAGATGTTAACCTTCGCCAAGTTTCACCAGTTAGCTGTCCACGGAATAGCGCCAAAAATCCCTAAATGAAGAACATAAATATATGTATATTAAGGTACGCGTAGGAAAGGATGTTTACTGTATTTGACTCGAACATTGACGTAATTGTGTTGACGTTGTGAGGTTAAAGATCAAAACGTTATCATAATCTGTCCGCGTTTCGTCAATTATTTTGTCAATCCTGGCAACGTATTTGAAACGGCAATAAAACATCCATCATTATAGTCAGTCTTTGGTCTGGCCAACACAAACAGTGCTAGTAGTATAGAAAGTCAAACCTTGTATTCGCGAATGCAACTAACGCCTGTCGGCTACCGGATTAACCTATTATTTTATGGGTAACTCATTTAAATATGAATAGTACCTGCCATTATTCCATTTATATTTGGTACATATTTGGTAGTTGGTCATAAAATAGTAGGTTAATCCGGTAGCCGACAGGCGTTAGTTTCATTCGCGAATACAAGGTCAGTCTATAACGAATCAACATTTTCTATAATACCTGACATGAACCAACATATTGAGCAAGCCGTATAATCATGAATATTGGGATCCACAAGGCGGAGGCCGCCATTGTAAGAATACCGAGGTTCTCGGCCCACTTGGGGTAATGCATACCATCCAAATTCACTGGCTCATACTTAACAGATATCATTACGAATATGAACTGAAAGAAACACATGCATTTAATCATATATATGTATGTATTTGCCTAAAATGCAAGTTAAGTTGAATTCAGTCATGATCAGAGGGCTAAAGGTTGGAAGACAGGACATTCTTAGCGAACCCTGAGTATTGGCTATCAAAATGTGACGAAGTCATCTCTTGCATATGGTACAAAATTTCGAACGACGCAAACACGTGTTCAGATAATCAGAAACGATTCAAATACGAGTTAAGTCTCCCAAGTTCAGGTACGTGTGTGTCTAATTCAGGATGAGAGGGAGATAAACCACGGGTTAGTGAGAGAACGCAAACGTGGAAGTGTAATATAATGATTTCCAAGAATATAATTATGTAACTACCCCCTCTCATTTCGTTTTCCCAGCGACCGAATTTCAACACTGTTTTTCTTATACGGGAAATCAAATACTACAAATGGAGAACTAGCCCCCAGTGGATCTTAACTCAACACGTTCACGTACAAATTCCCTTAAAACGTGTAGCTTAACCTCCCTATTCTACACAGTACGTTACTCACTAGTATGATAAGTGGAGTGAGTACCAACCAGCAGGCGCCCCAATAGAAGTTGGGCTTAAAGCCAATCATGGTCCGGATATCTTCAGAAAACCGACGATAACCTAAAACACGTACAAAACGTATTGTGTATGAAATGTTTTTAAGTGTGTAGTGTTTTTCATCTTGAACATATTCATATTTACATTCGATTTTTAAAAGAGAGCTTCATCTTCAGACTCTGCGCGCATGGTAACATTCTGTGAGAAAATGAGCCGCACGTTTGATCTTATTTTCATGCTGAGTGTATATAGTAAAAGACTAGCATTTTACGTGTATGCCTACATGTATATCTTCCTTATGGGTTAAGGATTGCGTGTGATAATCTATACGTTAACATATTCCCTCTGATGATCATTTCAGCATCTAAATATTCCAATATCAAGCTGTTGGAAACTAAGAAGCGTCACCATCCGTGACCGAAATCGAGGTTCCAAAACGAATCAACGGTGTGTGCTTGGAGAATAAAGTTACACTCACCATATACGTAATTGATGACGACCACCTCAAGAAAAACGATTAAAAAGAGAGAATGAGAGGCCGCGTACCAATCCAATAATTGAACCCAATACATGCCTGCCTGAAAATATAGAGAAAATCAACACCAAAATACTATTGTCCTGATGCCGCATTTAGTCGTGCTATAAGCCTTTATTACTGTGCCCCCCCCAGCTGCACAGCTCCCAACAAGTGTTGTGTTGGTAAAGTAGTTAAGAAGGGGTCCACAGTCTTGAGCAAAACTTTGCCGGATTATTCTGTCATGGTACACCATATATAGTTACACTCCCCTCCAAAAGTAATTAGGAAACTCGGGTTCCCCTTATGGACAACATTCTAAAGCCTACTTATGTTGAACAATTTTCAAAATTTCATCAAATGTGGCTTTTCAGTGTATTGAGGGAAAAACACTTTCAAACGTAATCAGGTTCTAACACTCTAAACAACATGAATTCGATGTTACCAAACTTTTGTTGGGAGTGTACGTATACCATAACCAGATCTGGTCCTTTCATTCATTCTGGTTGTATGTTTAAAACTGCCAAAAGGCCTTTACATACCTGAGTGACGCAAGGTATCCCTAAGATAAGTCCTAGTACACAAATTGAAGCTAACACTAGGAACTTCCGAGGTCTCAACGCAAGGAATTCGTCTGTGAGAGCACTCACTATTGCTTCTAGCCCAGTAAACTGAAATGAACAGTAGTCAATTAATTTAACATTCAACAACTATCCTCGATTTCCAACAGACCATAGTTAAAGGCCAGTGGATTATAAGGAGGAATAGATGTATATAGGTTATTTCATGGTTAATTTTCAATATGGATTTTATTCCAGGGTAATATGATATTGAGTGAGGGAAATATGATATTGACCGAAAAAGCGAAGTGAATATCAATATGATATTTCTCGAGGACAATATCATATTCAAGTGACTCATTATAATGTACCCCATCATATTGGAACTATACATCAACAGTACTGACGACGCTGAGAAAGTACTATTTCTCTTTGAGTATTGTATTTCCCTACCATACTATCCAATCCGAGGGTAAACAGCATAAAGAAGAAAAGAACGGCCCAGAAGGGTGCGCCTGGCATCCTTGCAATACCCTCGGGATAGGCCACAAAAGCAAGACCCGGACCTACAATATAAATAGTACGTTACAATGTCTATGAAATGTATAGGGGTTCAGGATATCCTATATTTATCTCTCATATGGTAGCTGGTCAACTCGTACCCAAGCCTGCATATACTAGGGGAGAGTGAGGTAAGACGGAACGAAAATCTACATCCATCTTTGATAGGCTACTGATCATTAAACATTTGGTTTCCTTGAAAATGTTTATAATATTTTACAATGCAGAGCTACTGAAAATGATTTAAAAATTATTTATTTATAAACAGACTATTTCATATCAAAACCGTCTCCCGTGTCAACAGGGTCAACTTGCCAGGCGTGGGGTAAGACGGAACAGGTGGGGTAAGACGGAACGGTTGATATTATCTGAAGGAAATCTAAATAAAATGCTCCGATTTGATGTTTTTTCATATACTTTTATTTTAAGTTCAATAGCACACGTGACGGTGTTTTTGTAACATAACCAATATGGAACGATTTTCCAAAAAGCACTTGCTACCCATGTAAAGATAGTACAATGTTTAATATATTTTAAGTTTAAGAAAAGTTAACAATGAATTACCTGTCGACTATGCTCATACACAGATCAACACTAGGTAGGAAACGTCTTCTCTTTGCATTAACACATGAAAAGTTTCCAAATAAGTGCAGCCCCAATGACCTTATATCATCAAATACATAGTTAATGACCGTTGGTCTTGGAATGACCTTTGACTTGAAAATGAAATCGGGGTATCGTTCGTTCCGTCTTACCACGTCTTACCACCACCACATGAATCTACAAAATGTCGTCTGCTATCAAAATAAGACACCTAACAGCTATTATCTTTCTTAAATTACAGGGTTTTAAATTGTCTATTTAGAAATATATAATTTTTTATGTATTACACGTATGTTTTTGATTCTACGGGCGATCAAAACCGTATGAAATGTTATAAGAATGGATAAAAAATGATATATCTACCCTTAATAAAAATATGTCTTGCAGCCGAGGAATTGGCAGTTGAATAGAAAGATTACGTGATACATTTTCAAAAAAGTTAACTTCAGCGACCATTTTTAAACAGTTTCTGTTTAAAACCTATCGTTCCGTCTTGCCCCTCGTTCCGTCTTACCCCACTCTCCCCTACTTAGACCTACTTATAATATTGACGAATTTATACGTAGACTTTATTTCTGTTAAAAGATGGCGAGTATGATCGATCGACTATATTTATGCGATAGGCGAGTAGTCATTATACACAGAGCAGAGTGACCTTTTACAGTACAGTACTATTTACCTCAATCATATTGACCCTGATTATAGTATAGCAAACCTTATCACAGTAGAATATATGGACTCAATACACTAAATTCACAAAGCAAAATAGGGCAAAAAGTAGGACTAAGCCACCACATTTAACTGATTGAAGTTCGGACTTTGCCTCCGGATTGGAGTACACGGTGGCACAACAGTAAACATGGCTACACACATAAGATCTGCGACAGGAGCCTCACAGCGTCTTTTGACCATCCAGAGCCACATCAGCCCGGTATTCGGGAACAATGGCATGGTCCTTTATAGGACAGCAACATCAGACGCTGCGCAGAAAGTCCTAGACACCCGCCGTAGTATGAAAGTATTTGATAGCGACATGAGCTTTCTCGACACTGGACCAAAGAACGCTGAAAGGGTCGTTTTGTTTTTGCATGGTAACCCTAGTGCCGCATACCTTTGGCGGAATATCATCCCACACGTGCAAGCAATCGGAACCAGGTGCATCGCTCCAGATCTAATAGGAATGGGACATTCGGCGAAACTTGAAAACGACTGGTATAAATACGCCACACATTACCGTTACTTGTCAAAATGGATCGAACAGATGGAATTACCAGAGAAGATCAATCTAGTTGTGCATGACTGGGGATCTGGTCTCGGGTTCAATTGGTGCTACCAGCATCAAAACCGTGTCAAGTCCATCACACACATGGAGAGCCTAGTCTCACCAGCGAAAGACTGGAGCGTTTTTCCCGAAGTGGCAAAAAACGCTTTCCAAGCAATGCGTTCTCCGGGTGGCGAGGAAATCGTTTTGAAAAAGAACTTTTTCGTCGAGAAACTTTTACCCGGGAGCATTATGAGAAAATTATCTAAAGAGGAGATGGACGAGTATCGGCGTCCTTATCTAGATGAAGGTGAATCAAGGCGCCCAACGCTAACATGGCCACGGGAGATCCCGATTGAATCAGATGGTCCACTTGACGTAGTAAACATCACCAAAGCGTACGCTAAATGGCTGCGTGAATCGGGAAGTGTTCCAAAATTGACAATACTTGGGAAACCAGGATTCTTCAGCTCAGATATTGAAATGGATACAAAGGATTGGCCAAACAACAGAACAAGAACTGTCAAAGGACTTCACTTTCTTCAGGAAGATTCACCAGACGACATCGGTGCAGCAATTGCGGAGTTTCTGAACGATATTTACGCAGGGAAAGCAGCATAAATGAAAATACAGAATATGTTCCATACCCGGGGTTCCATAAGATACATTTCCCATGTTAATTCGATAAAGCTTACACATGTAGCAGACGAGAATTATTTATATATTTCATCAGAAGTTCTTTTTTCAAACCGTAATTAGACAAAACGGTCTATTGGAATGATCCTACCGCCTACCAGTAAACCCCGTTGCTGACTTCTAAGACAATTGCCAATGATGGTAAGAAAAATCTAAATGACCCTCAATCTGCATACATGGATGCCTGAACATTGAGTCCACTCAGTGTGTACAGTAAAGATAAATTAATTTTTGTGTAAAAAAATCAATGATAATATTTTTTATGTATATTAAAAAACTTTCAAGATCAAACGACGATCTAAAATCAAAATTTAAATCTAAACTGTTAAGGAATCAAACCAGGATGAAATCACAAAAATACATACTGTAGATTGGGTTAATTTGGCGCTACTTAATTTGGCGATTATGCCATATATGAAAAATACATATATTGTCAGAATGAAATCAAAGATATTACATAAATTATGAATGCATGAAATCGCAAAAATATATGAAATATGGAAAATATGGATGAATATATGGAATCACAAAATATATAAAAAAAAACATAAACATAATAGCAAACGTACCATGTGCCACGACCTTGGACACCTCCACGCCCATTTCTCCCGCCATGAATCCAAGAACACTGAATATAACAAATCCTGCGAACACGCTGGTGGCGCAGTTTGTAATCGACACGATCAGAGCGTCTCTGGAATGGGAAAAATATTAATCACGGGAGGTTAAGCTACACGTTTTTATACATATTGTGAATGTGTTGTATTGTGACCCGGGGATTACTGTCTCCATCTCCCGGGGATTTTCCCGGGGAGCTTTGTTCCCTATACCTTAATATATTCATTAGGGCAATGGAATAATTACTGATGGAGCTCAATTGATTTTCCCGGGGAATTAATCATGGGAGGTTAAGCTACACGTTTTTACACATATTGTGAACGTGTTATATTGTAACCCCGGGGATTACTGTCTCCATCTCCCGGGGATTTTCCCGGGGATATAATTACAAAGTCTATGTTCCCTATACCTAAATATATTCCTTAGGGCAATGGAATAATTACAATGTGGTCATACATATACAGGGATACTAATACTGATTTAAGCTACACGTTTTAAGAGATCTTGTACGTGAACGTGAAATATTATGACAGGGATAACCGCGCCCCTCTCAATTGGTATTTTCCAGGGATCTGATTACAACGATTTCCCCTTTCCCTTTACACTCAACTGGACAAGAAAATGCTATAAAGTGAAGAACTTATCCAAAAAGAAATAGAATTCCACTCAATCACGTTCAAATTTACTTAAAAAACGTTTAACTTAACCTCACTATAGATATTCCATATCCCACATCTTAAATATTTTCACATTCTCAACCTCGTGATCAGAAAACCATTGTTAGTTTTTTTCTATTTCGTGATTTATAACCAACTAACATCATAGATAACTTACTACTTGACGATTTTATAAATCAGTTAATGCTCAATTATGGGTAGACTTCGTTTAAGTTTTTGATATTAGGGAGGTTAAGTTAGCAAGCACTGTTTCAAATAACGTGTATGTGAAACGTGTAAAATTATGGACCACTGTGGAATATTTTCACCTCAGGGCCTTTACATGCCAGATTGAGTATGAAGATGTAAGAAAAATAGTTGAAATAACGTTTTCGTTCAAACCAATTGAGAGGTGGACAACAACTCCTGGGGGTCATACTATTACAAGTTTACGTTCAAGTTCTCCCAAATACGTGTAAATCAACCTCTCTTGTAACCCTCTAAGCTTAACACATCGACATAATCCTAATATATTTTACCTGTAACAATTATTATTGAACTTGTTATAGCTGGACATTGTTATGAGACCACCCCATCCAGGCCCTAGAGAGTAGAATATCTGTTGAGCGGCATCACCCCAAACCTGATGTAAAAGAAAATAGCACAGTCAACAAGGCATTTACATGAAAAATGTCCATTTGTTACAGAATTTAATCTTTATTAATTTGAAACATTTAAGCCGTCGTGCAGTTCAATCACTACAACCAAGACGTGTATATCACGATCGAAGATGGCCGAAGATGACCGAAGATGGCCGAAGATGGCCGAAGATGTTTCGAGGACCCAATCAAATTAGGGTTAGTACTTCGGCCAATTTCGGTTGCGGTCGAAAAAATGTTACCCGAATTGATTTATAATAGGTAGATTAATCTTTGAAATAGCAAGTTTGATGCCAGGGGAAATACCTTTGCGTCGAGCAACTTTTTCCAGTCATCCTTCCCCGGTATGATGTAGAATTTGACCCCCTCAAGGGAGTTGGGCAACGTAGCCCCTCGCACCATGAGAATGAACAATATAACATACGGGAAGGTTGCTGTGAAATAAACAACCTACAACACAGACATGATGAATACACTCATTATAAAGAATATATTCATATTTTCAATGTTGATGCAGATCTAGATATGGTGACCAAAGATGGCTTGTATCATTGAAGTACTTACTTGCTTACTTGATATTTAGTTATTCTCCGGAAAAACACATCCTCAGTCTTTACAATGTAAATATAACAAAGACTTGCCCTGTTCACATCCTTTGGACCGGTTTTCGGATTTTATTACAGAGTTACCGAAAATAAAGGTAACTTTTAAATGTGCTTGTTATTTTTATAACTTATACGATGTATGCTTCATTTTTCACTCATATTAAGCTTTTTATGGGTTGCATTCATTTTGAGTCACCTTGTAGTTATATACAGAGTACTTCCTACTTACCTTGCCGGAAGATTTGACCCCCTTTATAAGACATAGAAATACGACAACCCAGGCAAGGACATTGCAAAGAAACAGCTGCCACCGTATGTAGCCAGTTTCGTTAATACTGGGTGTAACCTCCAACACATAACGTCTACAATGACAACAATATTTGTTAGCACACGAATCACATGGTTTTAGTTATTCCAAATCCATATATCGCAGATTCAATGCGGTAAGCTAGCGTCCCTCAACAAATAGATGATAACTATTGAATGTGTAAGTATCTTGAGTATATCATCAGCCATTCTGTTTCGATTCGTTAAATTCTGTATTCATTCTTTGATAGAGTATACATTTATCCCATTTCTATTTAAGAGACTGAAAACATACAGACGTACACACAAAGATACAGTCCCCTCCGAAATGTTGGCAATCATGCTGATTATCGTTTGAGTATTAAAAAGCATGATCATGTTGAACTTTAAATAACTTTTTAATATCATTAAACATACGAGTAAACCGGCTTTATCACAATGCTCAGTAGCGGAGTTGTGGTTACCATACTTTTTAAGGGAAGTGTAAAGACAATAGAATATATAAAGGGTTTATATGAATCACTTTAAGTGCTTAGCTATACTACACCTACTGCCAATACTCCTCCGTTGGTGACACACGTTTGGTAATATTTAATGTTGAGCAATTCACACCACCAATTGTAGCATTAGCTGCAATAATAAATGACAATAAATTCACACCACAAAATTGACAAATAGGTAGAGAAGAAAGATGGGCAATTTCGGGAGCTAGACTAGACTAGTGTGGTTAGTTGACAATAACATGATACAAAGAAAATTCTAAAATGTGTGATCATAAAAGCACTACGAAGCAATACTGTATCATTGTGTAAATGTAAATGATTTCAAATTTCTAAAATAGTAATGAAAATAGTATAATGTTCCATCGACATTATTTCTGCATTTCTAATTAGTCTACTTAACTCAGCCTACACCCCCTCAAAAGCCTGGCAACTGGAACTGGAGCCACGTAAGAACGACATGATGGTTCAATCCAAAACAAAATCATTTTTGACCTTTTGTAATTCACTAAGATTCAAACAGAGTTTGACATCCTATCAAATGAAAAAACACAAGGAGCACACGCGTCTCGAACTCGCAACCTCGTGGTTACGGCGCCCAATCGCCTTGCTCGAACGTGCCGTAGCTCAAGCCCTCTCGGCCAACTCATAGTAGATTTCCAGTCCGTATACTTATGACGGGGAGTGTAAATTTATACTCACTTATGATATTCATAGTTTTTGAACATGCACATGTGTTCCAGTCATTATCACAATCGGACCAGGGCAGCTTGGATGTGAACGAGGCGAAGAAGTAGAAGAGAGTGTAAATTCATACTCACTTATGATATTCATGGTTTTTGAACAAGCACATGTATTCCAGTCATTGTTACAATCGGACCAGGGCAGCTTGGATGTGAACGAGGCGAAGAAGTAAAAGAGAGTGTACATGATGATAACATTGTAGTAAACGCTCACTATGAGTGATAGTGTACACATTGCATATCCTAGACCTGAAAATATGACGTTCGTATTTTGACTGGCATTTACCCATAGGACCAATTTGGTAATTATATATCATGCATACTAAATACTTGATCTGGAGATGAACATTATAGTATAATTAAAACAATACATGCACAAAATGAGATTCCAAAATGCCCATAATTTTGAGGATAAAATAGTAAGGTATTAGTCAGCAATTTTACTTAACATTGAGGCGAGTGGGGGGGGGGGGGGCTGTCCTTACCGCCGACACCCCCAGTTTTCATGACACTGTCTGAGTTATCCGAGAAACTGCAATGCAAGACTGTTACGGCCAACAATCTCTACCTACCTGTGAATAAAGGAGATATTCTCCAGATGGATATGGGTCCAAGGGAAGCATACTGCCCAAATGACAATTCTAGGAAGAACATTGGTAGCCCGGCAAATGCTAACATTATTGTGTAAGGTATCAGAAACACAGCTAAAATAATGACATATGAGGTGTATATTATAGGAAGTGGAATACCATGCTGAAACAATTTATTGCTTGACAGTATACATAATTACTTTCCTGAACTAGTAATGAAATAAAACAAACTTATTCAGATAAATGAATGAATGAAAACTTGGATTTAAACCAAAATTAAGAAATATATGGTTGCTGTTCATGAGACTCATATTGTCACTTAGTTGAAACATTACAAAGTTTTGTAGACACCAGGCATGAGAAAATGTATTACAAGGTGTCCACAGAGACTCGTATTTTGATTACTCTACATACCCCCACCATTAGTGTAACACTTGTACGGGAATCGCCAAACATTCCCAAGACCAACAGCATACCCTATTGCAGATAGCAGAAAGTCGAACCTCCCTGAAATTGAATAATTATATAAGTTAATTTTGCAGTATGCCATTTTGATACATCTTGATTCACAAAGTTTCAGTTGCTCACCTTGGAAATCGAAGGTGATTTTTATACTCATTGCATCTTCCTTAAGACTTCTGTCTCAATTTGAGATGGCTCATTGGCTATCGAGACAGTCGAGCAAATTTATTTTCAACTAAATCTATGACGTCAAAAGGTCAAAAAACACTTTAAGTGATGAGAAGAACGGTCAAAAAGGGTGATGCATTATCATATATTTGATTCCTATGGCTATTAAGCATTAAATGTTCATAGATTACATAATGCGCATCATTATTCTGATGCAAATGTCATTAGCCGGACACATAGACGCACTTAGTGGAAAGAAATAACTGATATTTTTGTCTTAAGGGTAATAAAATCAATTAGGCTGTGATATAAGAGCTCAATTTGGATTATTTCCATTGACAGACAGGGTCGTGAGCACATTGCTATTTTGACAACAGAAAGATGTGATGAGTATCAGCAGAAAGTGGATTTTCAGGTCCAAAAATATCAGGACTTGAGAAAGAAACACAGACAGCGGAGCGGAATAGTAAAGTTACCCCGAAAAGAAAATTCACCCTATACTTTCTTTGAACCAAGGGTTAACCAAAGTCACAGAAATTCACTGGCTGAAAGACATCCATGGCCATCTCCTTTGAAAGACAATTGTGACTTTATTGAACATACTGTGGCTTCAGAGTTCAGATGGACTCACCATCAACAATTATTCTTAACAATCGATACCAACAGAATTGTTGTACAATACAACAATAATACAACAACAACAAACAGAGAATAGTTGTATATCTTTACCTGTCCATTTCCCCCTTTCTGTATCTGCCGTCTTCTGACTGTCGTATGTTTGGAACGTTTCGGTTGAAATGTGGAGATCTCTCGTTCCGTCACTCCCATTCTGGCTTGGATCCGTTTCTTCCTGTATATCGGCGAAAAGATGAGATTAAAATGAGTAAAGGAAACAAGACATGGACATGCAAAATGTCACTAGCTGCCATTTGTTACATACGCCGACTTTCGAAAACCGAACACCAACTGTCGAACGCCAGATTCTCCTCGTTGGGCTTCGTAGGTTTCATAAGCAAGAATTTCTGTCAACCAACAGGAAAAATTTGGCTATTGGAATATTTTTAAACATGGAAATAATTAGATAGTTCTTCAACTTAACAGATGCGTTTGGTGAAAGGTCCTAGTTTTTAATAGACATTCACTTTGACTATACTAATCAATGTCTATATGACTCACAAATGTGTTATAGTCTCCATAAAAGCAACTCACCGATTCCAATAAGCCTTTCTTCTTGAAACAGCAATCCATATTATTTCTACCCTTTGCATTCGTTTGACTTCACTTCTTAAAAGAGAGCTTCGTCGTTAACTAGACTCTGCACGCAGGGTATATTATTTAACATCCATTAAATTGTCAATAATATGTAGATTCTCGAATATGAATATAAAATGTAGTTTTAAAGTGGGTCGGGTTGCTAATGCTGAATCATTTACACTTCGGCAACATTCGAATGTTGTAAGCTTCCATGATGCATTTTCAAAATTATTCCCTTCCTACGAAAATCCTCGTAAATTGTTTACATGTTTACATCCTGATGTCTTCCATGGGGATTGATGGTCAATTGCAGCGTTTAGTCTATCCTTTTAGTATCATATATGCTAGAAATTCCAACTAGTATATATATATGTATATTGAATCACATATTGAATGCCTAACAGGTAAAAACCCGCATCGTGTATTGCATTTTTATTCTTTTCGCATCAGGTGTATACAAACTAATATTTATACACTATATATGTCCTGAACCACCTCAGTTAAGGTGACACTTAATGTTTATTAGCAGCCTCAGTTTTTTATGTGACCCTTTTATGAGCGATATTCCTTTGAATTATCAGCTGTGACGAGTGAACGTCATGAATGTAATAATCACCTGCAACAATGTGATATTTCAGATGGCACTACAGATCAATATTACCTGAAAACTGGCTAGGTATTGCAAGGAGGAATATTAGGCAGAAGACCTCAGGTGCAAAAGCACAGAATCAATACTAGCTTCTGTTGCATTCATTATTTAGATGATGATCACTCGATTCTGAAAACAATGGACCTCACGTATACATATGTTCATAGTTAAAGGTGGTATCAGATCAAGCAACCTTATGTTAACACAAACTGTTTCAATTATAGAATATTTTAACTCATATCATTTCTTCACATGCCAGCATTCTCTGAAAATATCCGTAAATATCCGTATTTTCACAATAATATGATACTTTTTGTATAAATGCGATAACCATTAGTAGAACTCTGCTCCTTACTTTTTGTTCCATTGAGATGCATGTTAATTCAAAGTTCAACTAAGAATTTCTCAAATCTCATCCCAGCGATTTTTAAAGAATAACGCAGATAGGTAGTTACCAATTTCACCACCATGTGGCTCGTTCGGGTCAGATAGCATGGCGGGTATGGTAGAAAGTTCCCTTTAACTTAAATTACATCTGTTTTGGTGGTTCAATTTTCATATAACCCTCATGTATCTAATAGCTATTATGCTAATTAAAAAATGTCCAGTGAAGGAAAATGATATTTGTCGATTACAAGAAAAGATATTTCACTTTTTGTGACTTTGTAACATGGGGTCTATGGGGATTCAACCCAAACTAGAAATCACATTTTCAAAATAAATTAAATTTTCAAAGTTGATAAACAATTTTCGAAACCATATTTCTAGATGTACTTTTACATGTAGATTTCAAATATGACATCGCATCTAGTTTATTTCAGCGAAATACAGCAAAACGTATCTCCCTGTAAAAAAACCACAAAAATCAAAACTTCCGCTCTCTTATATAGATGGAGTGGCAAAACGTCATCAACTCATCATATTTGTATACATTGAGCAGTTCACCTCTTCCACGCACATCCATCCGCAAGAAATGAACCCAAATATTTTACCGTTCACTGTTTTGATCATACGGCTCTCAGTATGCCTGCAAATGAGAGTTTTCTATCCAAAGATGGTGCTGTAGTATACAAGTGAAGTTCCAAACAGGTTTTTAATAGAACTACTTTCGTCATACCACGAAATAAACTAACCAGTAAGGATAGTAATCATTAATAGTTTTTGGAGAATCTAAATTTTTTCTCCATAATTGCACTGTCTTTAAATCTTCTTTAACTTCACCAATTGATGTCCTATCGTGGATCTTTTTTGGCGATAATATATTTGTGATAGCAAGGAATATAAGAAGGTACATGTTGTTTGCAAATTTTGTCAACCCCTAAATCTGATTGTACTATAATGTACAGTGTTTGATTTTGATCTGCATATGCCTACTGTAACAATATGTCCGTGCAGTGCATTTTGCCAGACATCTATAATCTATACCACGTTCATAATACTAATTGCTTACAAAATTGATCGTTCCAAACTACAAATAAAATGTATTGCCTCGAAAACCAATTACATATAATGCATCGCTATTAATCAAGACAGTCTGATAAACGAGTTTATCATTTAAATATATTGGATACATCCAGCAGATAACATGAGATGAAGGTCACATACCAGTCAAGTTGACCCGTGAAGTTGATAATCTGTATTGTTAGTACCTCAGTGTAAATACTCGCATCTGATTGGTCAATTAGCGGTCAACATTTTTGCCTGTACCTCACCTGTGCATCATGGGATATCATATTATTGACCGCGTATGTTACTGTACTACACTTGTGAATTATGGGGAATATGACGTCACAATGTTTACAGAAAAAAGTGTAGACGGACATTTTGTAAACGTTGATGAAAGTGATATTTTGACTTTGCTAGACGACGAGTATAGCAAAAATACAAATAAAAACGTAGTAAGTTCGGAGTTATGTGCCGAAAGCAGAGAGTCTAGCTACCACTGTGTTCAGATTTTCTTAAAAAATTATTGCTGGCTTGGTTCGAAGAAAAGATTGTGAAATGAAGCCACGATTGATGACTGTCGTCTATATGTGTATTATTAGTTTATTCGGACTAACAAAACAATTGTAGACCTCTCCATTCGGTCAACCGTCAAAATCATATACCTCGACTGTAAACCTTAAAACTACTGTTGACCTCGACCTTCAGTAGTTTCTCGGTTTACAGTCTCGGTATACAATTTTGCCGGTTGACCTCGGGAGAGGTCAACAATTGTATACTGTTTATAATATTTGTCACATGCTGTCCGACGGTCGAAAAATCCATTTATTTTCTCATTCGGCCGTATTCCTGAGTTTTTCAGCCATATATAATAAATTTGGTCTATGACTTATCTACACCTCCTTCCTTTAGTTAGAGAGCTGAGCAGAATCGTGTCCAATTACATTTTCTTCTGATTAATCCTCTAAATTTCAAAATGGTGGATGATTCGAAAAATTTTCATGACATGACAAGTCATTATATTTTGTAAACTTGACCATCATACTTGAGATTGTTGATTACATTTATTACATTATGTGAAATGACACATGTTTGGAATAGTTTGTAAACTGGATTATCACATTTGAATCTGTTTATTTATCATTTTGGATATTTATCACCCCTTCAAAAATTTAACTATAGTTCATTCATGGATTTCATGGAATTCTGGCAAATTCTTGGAACTCTGACGTCACTTAAACAGAGGGTGAAAGAAACTTTTCTCAAGAAAATGGCCGAGTTTCTTACTGCATTTGGATCCAATTTCAAGATTCTGCCTACTGACTAGGCGAATATGCACACATTTGACTTAAAAAAATAAGTCATTTAAATATGAGTAAGTAGGCCAAATGATTTTATTGAGGGATTTGAACTTTTTCTAAAAATTGATTTTTTGACTGTCGGACAGCATCTGAAAAATATTTTAGTTGTAGGCTTACTATATTTGAAAATATGAAATAAAACAGAAATACAAAACATATAAGGTGTTTGACGTTTGTTTTATTGAATAACTCCATCCGACAATGCAGGAATATTATACATAAACATTTATATTGTACAAAGTGAAATCCGTTGCAGAAAACAACACACTAAAAAAAAAACGAGTAAAAACATTGTTTTTATATAAAGTATAATTTAAATATCCAGAACAATTTGTCGACTGTCGTTTTCTTAGAAAATGACAAACGGGAATCGATTATCTAAAACCTTTTCATTTCGAACAACTTTCTCATGAAGTTTTGGCTTTGAAATCGTAAATTCAGATGGATCGGGCGGCGGTGTTTAAAGGGTGACCCATATCGTTTAGCAAATCGAACGCTCGTTTCTGGTGTTGCTCACCGTTTAGTATAAAAGGCCCGATCCCGGAATAATACTCAAGGGTTCACAGGTTCGAGGTCGTTGTGTCAACACCTCTAACTGTTATATAGCATAAGTATATTATAGATCGTCACACATTTATAAAAGGGTGATTTTTATTTTGACAAATCAATTCCACATTTATGGGTGAAGTTTCAGGATCTTCTATTTGTGTATAATAAGGAAAAATTGGCATCTAAATTTCCCCATAACGTAATAGCACACAGCTTGGCATATGAAATATCCTACAAATGAAACAAAGCAAGACAAACAGGTTTCTAATACAAGGATTTATATTGGCTGTTGTACATGTATTCTTTGAACGCAATCACTCTTTGGATAACGTTTTCAAAATCATTATAAACGGATTACTTTATCTCAAAGACAATTTCAATAAACTGGATTTTACAGAACTCCCCTTATTTCTTAAAAATGGACTGATCCAGTTGATTCGCCTGGAGCCGCCATATTGTTTTTATACGGGATGCTAATCGGAACCCTTTAAATAGCATAGAACTATAAGAGACCTCGATTTACAGCAGAACAAAACTAAAACATCAAGGTTTACGTCGACAAAAACGAAGACTAGTTCGAAAGGGTCGATTCCCATCCGCCATTTTCAAGGACACCGGTTTCTATAACGACCGTCAGTGTTACGATCCTCATTCTGACAAGTGATGCTGTAGATAGATACTGTGCAATCAGGTCAACATGTATTGCATAAAATCATGTCGTCTTCAAAACGGATGTCGTTCAGTTGAGATCATATACAGTGCAGATTTCCAAAAGAGTGCAACAGTTCAACAATTCATTTTATAACAATAGTTCAACTTTTTCGATCGTTAGTAAATAATTTTGAAAAAAGTGGACGTCCCTTTTTCAATTCTGTTGCATTTAGATATTGCACCTGTGTCAATTACCGTATTTGATCAGATTTCACAAATCCCTTTCTTCGGAAAATAAACCATCACATTTAATGTGCAGAATTTGAAGAATGTCCTAGTTCTCTAACACAGAAGAGTCGATTTCAACTTATGCAGTACCAACTTGCGTTTGACTTCCAGCTCTGTGATGCGTTTTAATGAATACACTCCGACCTGAAATTAATAAAAAAAACATTTTATACGGGTGCTGATTTTAAGGTTTGGGTCCACTCTTTAAAGCCGATGGCCCATATTCCAGAAGTCAATTTTCTGAAAAACGGGGCGTATCTTAGAATTAGGCTCAAATAAGGTTAATTTTTGTGTCCCAGGGATACGTTTTTGGAACCGTCGTAACTTACGATATTGCGAGTCATTGTTCGACAAAAGTAGACAATGGTTTTCTTGGAATCGTAATAAGTTACGATCGTACAAAAAACATACCCCAGGCTCACGTTTAAAAAACCATGAATAAGAACGTGCTTTCTATGGACGTTTATAAAACCTTGAGGGAATTTACATCAAAGTGACATATTGGAAAAATAAATAGTTCACAATAAAAGTGTATAACAAAATTTACTATTGCATCGATTACATATTTTCCTGTTTTCATCAACATAACAAGCTAATATTGAAGGGACTAAGCGAAAGTATAATATGTGTATCGACGGTCGAGATTTAGAATCGACACATACAATTTAATGATAAGGCGATGGATATAGGCACAATGACTAAAGAGAATACCTGAACAGTGTTAAAAACAATGTAAGAATAAGAATTAAAAGAAACGGGAAGCACCTAGGAAATAAATTCCAATAACCAAAACAATGATTCATCATACGAGGAAAATAAAGATTCAAAGTACAAGGGAACTGATTAAGTTAATTAAAGGTGATCAAACGTCATATAAATGTATACCTTTAAGAAATCGCACTCCGACAACCCAAACAATAATTCAACGTACAAGGGAATTGTGAAAATTTTAGTCATACGATTATACCTTCATCTTTTGTTTTTCCAATCATGAAGAATCCCGATGTCTTCATTAGTGTATGCGCTTCCTCAATTTCCATCTCATTATCAATGTCATACACAATAGTGCATAGTGGCGGCTCATCATCTATTACATCTTGGTCATTTACAATTTCTTTAACAATGTCAGCTTTGATTTGAGTGCTGGTTTTCCTGGATTTTTCCTTGTTCGTTTCTGTTTTTTCTTTGGTAGGTTTGCATATCGTTTTTGCTTTTGGTTTTTTGTGCAAATGGATTTTAAATGTTCGTTGGATTTTCAAAGCAGCTTGTTGAACTTCAGGGTCGTTAAGGTCAATGTCGATACCATCGCCATCCGTTTGCCCCGGAATATCGTCGTGTGAATTGACCCAATTTGACACTTTGGTATTTGCATCGTGTTTAGCATCTGGTGTTATTGGAGGGGAAAATTCCCCGACGATGAAGAACCCGGATGAAAGATTTGTAAGTCCGGTTGTAACTGACGGGATGACACTTTCATCTTCGTTGTCACTTTGATAAATGATTGAGTTATCAGGCAGCGTGACGTCATCATCTTCAGCGTCTGTACTCATCTCGAATAAGATCTTCATCTTATCTGGGCTCGGTTCATTCGATTTATCGCCACTCTCCATCGGTGCTCCTGGAAAATGAAGTAGAAGAACATAAACGTTTATTCAGTGACTGTGATATTTCAAGTGATCTGATTGGTCCACGCGTGACTCACATACATCCTGTATTTTCATATTAAGTAATACAACATATGACATATTAGTAATACAACGTATGAAACTCTGACGTCATCGAAGCACACGCTTTGACGTCTGAAAAATAAATTTCTTGTGCCTTAAGCCGACTCATCTGGCGTGTTGTAGATTGTTTCGCCAAGTGACAACAGGTGCATTCGATGCATACATGTATATAAGTGACAGTGAGTGGGTGTAATTCCAGCCATGGGGTTACTCCGACTGGCGAGTAGAGAATCTTCTAAATGAGAAGTTACACGCGAAGTGGTGGGCATATCATGAAGATGTTTGTTCAATAAACTAAAACCATATTGATAAAACAATACACGTGACATAATGTCACATATACGACTATTTGTAACAATCTCCTACAAACGCCGAACGTCAACGCAGACAACAAAAAATCCGGGTGGCCATGACCATATCACAATGAACTTAGCGTTGACATAAAACCAATAAAAAATAGAAATGTTTACATCAGTCAGTCAATGTATGATAATCCATATTGTGGGCAACGATAGATAAATATTGTCCTATTATAAAAGGTTATACCTAAATAGACAATTACTGACTGTATTGAAGCACTTATGACAGATTAGATTTTTATGCAGTATTTAAAGTACTTTTATTTGCTTATTATCATTAATATTCCTCGTTATTCTCTTCAAAATAGCTGCTTACCACGCAATAGTTACGTCGTTTGATGTTCAGACTTCAAATTCAATAAAGGTTTTGATGGATTTATGGAGGACCGAAGCAAATCAATTTGATATAAAATCAAAAAATGCCACGATATTTTGCTATTAGATTTACTGATTATAAAAATGATCAATTATTTACTTATCTATTATCATCAATAAAGAACGGACTTAATTAATAGAATTTACTAACGCATCGTGATTATATGTCTAGGAATAAAGATGCAAAATCATTACGCTTTCATATGTTTAATCACTGAATACCAGGCCCCCAGGACTTGCACGCATTGAAGAAAATACCTAATAGCTAGCTACAAGTAAATATGTCAAAATCAATGCCTCTACAAAGTTGTATTGTCTTATGTATCGATAGTCAATTGCATTAGGTATTGTCTAATTTAATGTACACTTAGTACTAACGTCGACGTCTACTTCTATCAACAACTATGTATGTAAGATACAGACCTTTTGTCACCATTTTCAGGACCCGACCGTTCAGGTCTATTTCTCGTTTCCGTAGAATTTTTTGAAAATAGTCTGCAGCAAACTTGGTGACATCGACAGGCTGTTGTCGCAAAACTTCGACTGAGAGATCTTTCAGAAGTTTCTGTAGGCCCGGAGGGACGTTTGGTCTAAAGCTTATCGGTCCGATTGGACTATCAGACATTGTTTACATCAGCATGTCTGCAAAGGAAATCAATATTGTTTAAAGTGCGAGAGAAACTTTACAGAGTGAGCATGTGGGGACAGTCAGGGAACCAAATAAACCAAAAATAAGATTTATTCTGAATTTTACAAAAATCGATGCAACTTCCTTTAAAATTGAGCTAGAAGCTTGAAATGAAAAACAGTTTAAAGCTCTTTTCTTCTTCTATCTCATGATTCTATTTTTATTGGTTATGGGTGGGTAGGGGGGGGGGGGGAGCGTGATCGTACCCATCGCACCCCCTGGCTACGCCTATGTGTACTATGGCGTAGACGAAAGCAAGCAGGGTCTAGTTATAAACTACCGAAGACGAAGCTCTCTTTTAAGAAGTGAAGTCGAACGAATGCAAACTGGCAAAGGGTACAAGTTGGGATGAATTGTTTTTACCTGCCAATGATTATCAACTTAGAATTTCAGACACACTTTAAATGATATCAAGTTGAATAAAAATCGTTATATCATAACTGTATGGGTTTGTAAATTATTTATTGATTTGTGTTTTTGCAAACGAATGAAAGTTCACTCATTAACCTATGTTCAGATGTTTGTGAACGCTAGCTGTTTACGATAACGCGTCAATTACGCTCAATCTAAATTGAAAAGTCTACTTCGAATTAAACTGAATTATGATCTAAAATCAATCTTAATTTAAATTTCAAATTTAAAGATATTTGCATATACTTAATTGCTAAGCACCCACGAACAAAATGCGTGGGGGTATCGTACAATATGTTCAGGAAAGTTCAACTTGGCATGATGTACTTTTGTATGAGAATTTACAAATAAAATGCTAAATGGATAAACCCTACGTATGTTAAAATATGTTAAACCTAGTATAAATTTTTGATTGCGAAATTTAGAAGGTAGGAGATCTATCAAAAAAAGTGACGACACTACGTGGCTGCATGATTATAACGAAACGTTTGACTGTTGCGCCTTTTAAAAGATTTCATACCTTAGAAGCTCAATAGTTAAAATGCTTACAATACCCAATATATTTAGAAAAATGTGAAAACAAAAACAATTTCTAAAAATAAACTTTTAGCTATTCTACTTATACTGTGGGGATAGTAAAAAAACAAAAAGAGAATAACTGACTTTTTAGGCGCACCTAACTTTTTTATTAAGACAATACTAAACCTGAAATATAAGTAGTTTTCAATAGAAAAACTCCCTTCTGGACACATTTGTGTTTTCTGAAAATATGTCTCAATTATTGGAGAGAGGGCGTCAACCTTGAATGGCCTTAAGGTTATGAAATATGAGAGGTTTGTTTTATCAATTTATGTATTTTCTACTTTGATGTTGTGTTACTGCAAGGTGAACTTTATATCAGTTTCAATAATTTCATACAGTGTCAATATATATCCATTAATAATGTATGGTCGAAAAGTAATATACGTTACATGCGCATTTCATCGTTTTTCCCTCTGCATTTTGATTCATTCCTTGTTTTTGTTTCTATTCAATGGTATACTCAATATTAATTGATATCAATCTATAGACGTTATTTTTGTTCATTGTACCCTTTTCCAGTCTTTATAGTTCGACTTTTGATGAGATTATACCAAGTGGTGCTTTATCAATAAGTATATAGACATAGATAGATAGGTATCACATGTGCCTCAAGCCATTAGCTAATCAGGTAATCAAGATGACTTTAAAATAATACGTGATCAAATGAAATATTATCTTAGACAAATATTTGGGGCAATAACTCGTGCATCAAAACGTCACTGAATATGGCAAGATACAAATTCTCAACACTATTTACCCCCCCCCCCCCTTAAGTAACTATGGACCTCCGATATGGGACTTTATGTAGTCTCAAACGATTCATATTTTCATTGATATACACGTTAGTATAATTGCTTAACAATTTTATCGTAATTGATCATAGTTGAACTCATATTTAAATAGCAACCTTTGAAAAATTGTTCATAAATATTTCAGAATTCTTTTTCTTCACTTTGTTTTATATGTCTTTGTCATGACATACCATGACATCTAATTTCTTCAAAGCTTTGAAACAGAAAGATCGAGTACCAGAATGTTATCCCTTGCCCATTTTTATTTTCTGAAATCCATAATTTCGTATACTTTCCTTCAAGAATACTAAAGAGGTTTACATTTATGTTCATTTTATAAACAAAGGCTTTGGTTAAATAAGTAACCTAGGCATTTTATGTCTCTGTCTATATGCAGATCTTATGGGAGATGATAAAATGGAAATAGAGTAAGGTGGTAAAAATATATTGGTTTTCGGTAGATGTATGTAATCATCCAAAGTACATTTTGTACGCTTTTTATCTTCGATCTTCGATAAAAACGTTCCACATGGTAGATAGAGAAAAAGCATAGTACGTACATGTTAACTTTAAAGCTCATCATACACAATAGTTTAATATTCTGTCTTTAGTTACCTACCTTCCCAGTAATTTCCAATTCCATATCTTGATTTATCGTAACTTAATGTGATATCCTTAGCTAATATTATCAATACAAAAAAAACCCAGAGTGTACATTCACCTTGAAGCTCATCATATACAATAGTACTATAGGGTTTTATTCAATCTTTAGCTTCTTACTATGTCTATAAATTCCATGTCTTGTTGTTACTTAATGTGATATCCTTATATTATATTATCAATACAAAAAGGTACATATTCACCTAAAAGCTCATCATAAACAATAGTACTATAGAGCTTTACTCAATCTTTAGCTTAACGTGTCTATAAATTCCATATCTTGAGTTATTGTTACTTAATGCGATATCCTTAGATCATATTATCAATACAAAAAAAAACATATTCACCTTAAAGCTCATCGTACACACAATACATAGTTTTATTCAATCTTTAGTTACTTACCGTGTCTATAAATTCCAATTATATATCTGGATTTATCATTACTTAACGTAATATCCTCAGATTATAACCTAGAGAGATATTAAAATGCTCTCGACTAAGATCAGGTGTGTTAGTTAAGGACTATAGTGCTCTTGTATTTACAGTTCCACCGCTGTTAGATTGATCAATTCATACATACATGACAAATTATTGATTCATCCACAAAACCCTCAATGACCCCATGATTCTTGATGATATGTGTGATACATTCACACACGTGATTGGCTAATGTGATAGGGAGTGCTCATGGGGGATGGGAATAATCCTTAAAAACAACCGACACCATTGTTTTGGTAGCTCATGGCAACCAGAATTTACAGTCTGAAATCGATAGAGATGTTATGATATTTATGTCCAAAAATCTATATTATATGATAATTTCATTCTTGCCATGTTCTTATTTATTGTCCGAGGTCTAGGAATACATGCAGACCTACGCTATGAAATTGAAGTTATGAAAGTTGTGAAGAATGTCGTGTTAACATGCTCGCTATTTGTATGTTATCAATTATTGAACGAAAATAGATTGACGAGAACCTACAAGACACGCTAGAACAGACGCACTTTAAAACATAAAAACATGACGCAAAAATGTAGTTTTCTAACCAAAAACCGTTTTCCTTTAGAATTAATGAATTCCAAGGCATCAGATTAGCAGCTTATTGCAGTGTCCCTCTTAAAGGACACGTAGCAGTAACTCGCATGCAAAAATATATTTCATTGATAATGCATGGACGCAATCAAAAACTTGGGCATCTTTTCTCTAACTAGGCTATCGAAGCCTGAAAAAATCATTCAGGTCATAGTGGAAATTGTTTTTAAAGTTAAAGAGAGTGTACAAAAACGGTTTTTGGTTAGAAAACTAAATTTTCGCGTCATGTTTTCTATGTTTTGAAGTGCATCTGTTCTAGCGTCAATCTATTTTCGTTCAATATTATTGATAACATACAAATAGCGAACATGTTAACACGACATACTTCACAGCTATCATAACTTTAATTTCATAGCGTAGGTCTTTTTGGAGGTCTTTCAAAAATTATGGAACTTTTTGTACTCCTTAATCACACCCCCCCCCCTGCCCCCCTTTTACAGTCTGACCGATATTTTACGTGTAAAACACGATCACCATGGCATTAATCACAAATTGATGGTGCTAGCAGTACATATCGAGAGAAATCTATAATCTCACTTCTACAAGTACACCCGGGTTTTAACTCATATTCTTGCCAAGCTTATTTCTGGCTTCACCCTTCTTGAATGCACTGGACGAAATGCAGCTTTTCTGACTTGGTACGACCAGAGTTTAAACTTTAAATTTCTTTTCATGTTTTTCAAACATTCCTTCTTATCAATTGTGTTTTACATTTTGAAATGATGGCGCTTTGTTCTTTTATTCGTTGGTTTGGCTTTGATTAACACCATCCAAATGGTTTACATAGTTGCTCATATCACATGGAATAGCTAATCACACATTCTCTTATACTATCACCAAGAGGCTCTTGGTCAAGATGGATTACTTGAATTAATTTCAAATTCTTACATGATCTGTAGCATAACATTCGATGTTCATTCGACTCCAAACGTTATTATTTCAAAAAAAGAATTACGATTAATATGATTTTCCCAGAATATATTTTATAATGTAGGTGATATGTGCATTTTCAAAGTAGTCAGAAACGCAAATAGATAGTAGATACATGTAGTGTTTTTATTACCGTTAGCGAAAAACGTTTATATGATATAAATAAATAAATACAAAAATGATATATTTTAAGAACATCAATATTTGATTAGATGAGACCCATTAGGGGATTTCCAATTTATATGAAGCACATTGGTGATTGGATACCTCATAAACAGAACATCCATCAAAATAATATCCATACAATTTAGATAATAGAAACTGGTGGCATGTATTGTATTAGCGATACCTTTGATATTTGATGTTATTTATGGAATCCCAATCAACGTATTATTATGACTTATTAAATATAATATTCTGGCGATATATAAAGGGGAATAATTCCGACTCCATTAATCTTTATTAGGGAGGTTTAGCGACACGTTTCAAGAGAACTTCGGTAGTACGTTTACTGACCCGACTGTGTATGAAGGCTGAACGGACCTAGTTGTAATAAGGCCCCTGGAAAAACCTACTGAGAGGCAGACAGTAAACCTGTACTATGGGTCATTAAATCACACGCTCACAAGTTTTCTTAAAACGTGTAGCTTGACCTCCCTAATATTGATTATTTTTTATATATTTACGTAAATTATGTGTACCTTAATTAGCTATTGTTTGTTATCGTGTAAGAATAATTCAATACAATTCTTCAGTAATTATAATCATGTTGACTACAGATCGTATTGAGTGCTAATCATATATCATCATACTAAGCACAAAAGGTTACCTTAATCCCTACATAGATGCGCTCAGATGTTTTGTATACTAAAGCAGTCTGAGTTGGGTGTATATTTGATTAAACATAACATTTTTATTAGATTTATATAAAAAATAGATATGTTTAGCCAGAGCTCGGACAGTCTCGAAGACACAGAAGCAGATTATATAATTGGGCGATTGGGCGCTGTACGTAACCACGAGGTTGCGAGTTCGAGACGCGTGTGCTCCTTGTGTTTATCCATTTACAGCTGTTCACCACTTGTCATTGCATCCTGAGTATACAACAATTCCTATTTACTACATAGTTTTTTTCAGCAGTCTCCACAACCGTGCGTCGCGTTTTGGGACATTTACTTAATATCCATCCGTTCCACAAATTCGTCTGTAATCACATGCTGCTTCTAAAGTCCCATTTATCTCAGATATAGCTTGTACCATATCCATAAAATCATACGCATATTTAATGTTATGACCAATACTGGACAAACCTCGTAGAATATTCTGAAATATAATCATACATTAATGCATAATACTAGAAAAGAACATGATGAAACTCACAGATTCTATACTATGTTGTCTTATTCTGGAGTTGTTAGTTTTTGAACGGGAAGGTATTGCTTTCAAGTTGTCTAGAAACTTTTGGGAGATGCTTACAAAAAATAATTGAACCGCATTATTGTGCAAGCGAAATATACTCACTTTTGGGAAATCACCATACTGAACGATTACATTCGGCAGGAGCTGATGGTGTAGCCTCGGGTTATATATGGCAGTTTGTATATTTTCACCAAGCCATAAATACCAGACAGCTACCTAAAAATGGATTTAGCATGAAGGTTGGTGTCAGCTGCTTATGCACACGCATTTATGATGTATTGATTTTGTATTGGGCAAGAAACCAGTAACTATTATAACGACCCATGGGCGCCTCCGGGGAGCTGTAGTGTAACAAGAGAGATACTGGCCAATGGCCATGAAAGGGAGTATGCTAAATTCAATGCCCCGTAGGGGAATCGAACCCAGGACCGTCCGCTCCAAGTCCGATGCTCTACCGCTCGAACCACTAGGGACTAGGCATTAGCAACTTGCTATCGATGTTCATTTCCAAAATAGTTACACTATATACAAGTATGCAACTATGCACATTGGTATGATTCAATACAGACTAATGTGGCATATCTTAAAACAATTTTAATAAACATTTGCGTAAAATACAAAACTAGTTATTGAAAAAATAAATCAGTTTTGAATTGATTGTTCAAATTGCCCTCACTTACATATGCTGTAGCTGTAGGTATTCTGGATCCGCCAATACCACCTAGCACAAGTTTAACTTTGTTAGTAGTAGAATTCAAAATGATCACTGGTCCCATCGACGATAATGGGCGTTTTCCAGGTTTAATAAAATTGGCAGGAGATGCAACAAAGCCATATATATTCTTTGTAAATGGAGTAGAGAAGTCGTCCATCTCGTTATTGTAAACAATGCCAGTCGTATTTCCCACTAAACCAGAACCGAATCTATAAACGTAAGAAGTTATATAGAACATTATTATTAAAATATTGTAGATTGAGCCACGGTGTAAGATTTTTATTAGAAGGTTATTTAAGGAGGTTATTTAATTGGAGGTTTTTGATACAGGGTATATCAGAGGGAAATACAATATATCTACCCGAGGGGCCGTAGGGACAGAGGGTTGATATATTGTATTTACCGAGGGATATACCCTGTATCAAAAATCGAGCATTTAATAACTGATTTATCCTATTATACTTTTTCATATAATAGAAATTACAAATAACATAGCCAGAACCAGATTTATCATATACTTAGTAGATTTTGAAGATAAGTGTTGTGGAAACCCTCATGTAATAATTACAAATGATAACTACAATCAAAACATAAATTTCGTATCTAAATGTAAAGGTCTTAGGTGAGCGGGTGATATACATTACACTACTAAGTATGGGATAAATGGTTTCATGCCGAGGGACAATATGATATTTCTCGAAGGTCAGGTGGATACCATTTTCTTGAGAGGGAACAGGAGGGACAATATGATTTTTTCGATATCAAAAATATTAAAATATTCCTCTAGGAAGTAGTGGTATCATGGGATGATTTACATTATTGCCTTTAACAAAAGGAGCAGGGAAAGTATCGCAACAGACTTTTGATAATTTTGACAGTTGATAATTTTTTTGTGAGTAGTTTCTGGCTGTAAAAAGTAAATGCTTGGGAAAGGCGAATCTATAATCTTCAAGAAAAGTTCAAAGAATAGTTTCCAGATCAATTGGATTATCTTATAATCCATGTTTAATCCACCCATCAACAAGCTTTTTCAAAATACATTCGTCATTTTCACCATCGGCCCTCATTTTTTTTACAATTTCTCATGCAAGGTTACATTGTACTTGAACACATGTTTCATCAAGTAAAATATGTAAGGAACTCCATGAAGTTTGTTTTTGAGTTTTTTTTGAAAAAATGAACCTCTTAAAATGCATGTTTACAAAAATAATTTAGGAGTGATGTAAAAGATGGCAATGTTTTTTAATAATAACATGCATAGGTGGGTGAATTACTCATGTGTGTTGTGTTTTAATCCTGCATTCACTGACTGAGTTAGCCTATTGGAAAATCATAGAGATTAATAATACAAACAGTAATACTATGAATACTTCTACTTCAAGCTCAAATAGCGCTTTCAGGGTCCTGTGTTGAAATACTAGATCACCTTATGTGCATGAATTTTCAAGAGAAACCATCAGTGCAAGCAATTAAATGAAAGCATCATCCGAACATCACTTGAAAAGTACTAAAGTGGTGAAAAATTGCAGGATGTTGACAGAAAATGTGCCTAGGTGAGAGGGTAGTCTCTCAACCCCCTCCTCCCCCTCCCTGGATACGGGACTAATACATGTGATATGGCAAAGTCCAATTCATAGATTAAGTTTCCCTTGCAGTCTTGTTGGCATTTTTATTAGAGTTCATGTTTTGTTTATGTAAATGGGTGAGTGGAAGACCCTTGGGTGGGAATCAAATATAAAATGTTTTCCAAAATATATATTTGAAATACATTGTGTATGTACAGTCACAAACTCTAGGCAACATTAACTAGTAATGGGGCAACACCCCAACTCAACTGAGTGAATGTGTAAACCATATAAGGAACAAAAAACATTACATAAAACAAACTCAGCATGCAAACATGTAAAACTGGCATGGCAAAACAATAGATTGTGAAACTGAATAATAAAAGCACATACGACTAGAAAACAAGGGATTAAGGACCTGTTAAAATGACATGAATGGGGATTGGTCAATATGAATAGTAGAAATATGAAAAATGTGAAAATTTTACATTTAGTATTGATCATGAACATTAGAGAGGTTAAGTACACAGGCTCGTAGGCATGTAGAGGGGGAGAGATAAAGGGAGCTGCTGCTCCCCCAAGAGGTTCTTTCAAAATGATGCAGTTTCTCACCAATCTGAGCACTTCGCATGATTTTTTGGCCAAAACTGTCAAAAAGTTCATCCCTAGGCAAAAGCTTTGCCCTTGGTAAAACTGCTCCTACCCCTTGGTAAAAGCTGGCTACAGACTGTGTAAAACACTTGTGTGAGAACTTGAACATGAACGAGTACTGTTATGACCCCCAGTAATGTTGTCCATCTCTCAACTGGTTTAACTGGGGACCATTACATCAATTGGCATTATATCAATCAGGCAAAAAGAGGCCAGTGATGTGAAAATAGTCAATAGCACGGTGTTATAGCATGACGGTTACGCCACCTCTGAAAACGAGGTTGGACAGCTACGTTCACTGATTTATCCAATAAAATGGCCGCGATGGAAGAGAAAACTAAGGTTGGCGCATTATTTTCTACTTCTGTGTAGCAATGAAAGGATGAACGATTTATGTAAGAATTGCATTCGGTGATACTTTCAGTAATGTATATTTTGAACGTAGCCTTTGCAAATTGATGCCTGGGGATAACATGAAATAAGAGAAAAACTGTCGAGTTTGAAATTCAAAACTACACAAAAATTTAGTAATTTGTTTATTTTTGTTTTTGTTGTTAGGGCATGGTCTACATTGCCTAAAAACCTTGTGGTATATAGATGTAACCTACATACGATCATACAAAGCCAATTGAGCATTGGAAACCACCTAATATGTTCTACTCAAGCCATAATAATGTATTTTGAATTTGCAGTAGTATACACAGTTTACTTATACTTACAGTTAATATTTTGAGTGGCTCATGTACTGAGACAACACGAGAATGGATCAAAACTTATAAACTTTGATATCTCAGTCGGTAGGTTTACAGATTATATTCTGTTTCTTGTAGACCACCTGGCAGATTTGACCCAGTCTTTATAACCATCCATATATATGTCACCGAATGGAACTAGTTTAAAATGAAATCTTATCTGTGAATATTGCCTACAGGCGAGAAAGAGGACATGCTGCCTTTCCCATCCGCCATTTTTTGTTATCGTTACCGCAAAATATTGCAAATCGCCTTGACGTAACCGTCATGCTATAACACCGTGAATAGGGGACCATAAGTTTACACATTCCATGTGTACGTTCATCAAAATAGTGCGATCTTAACCTCCCTAATAACTGAAATTATTGACTCAACCAATAGAATCATTCTATGTTTGTTTATATTTGTTCACATTAATATGGAAGAAAATCTGACATTTTGCTAAAAAGATGTTATTGTAAATCTTAGAAATAATGATAAAGGTAGTATACACCACACACTCAATGGTATAGATTGTGGTTTTGAGAGACTCTCAATAGGGACTTTAAGCTTGCAATGTTTTTCACAACCTAAATGTGAATGGAAAATATTTAGCGATGCATTTGTATGGGCGATTGGTCATAGGTTGGCGTTTCGATTTTATATGCAAGCTTAATCTCCCTAATGTTAACATTAAGGTAAGAGTGTATGTTACTCATAACATTTTCTTAGGATAACATTTCTTGAATTGATGAATATGCAAAAATTATTCTTAGCATATCATCCTTCATTTCATTATTTGGATAATCAATCTGGAGATAAACTCAAATAAGGAAGTGTGTTATAACACATCATCATATAGAAACATGTTCAACGTTTTTTCAGAAGCTGGATCAAAATATTTGTCTTACTAAAATTATTGGCAAAGGTATGATGTACTAAATTCTTGTACTGTATTTATGCTTTTAATAGCACTGTACCTCGTGAATCATTACTGATAAACAAGATACAGAAAACCTGTTCAAAGTAAATGCTATAATAAGGCATCATAGAAATTATCATAAAGAGAGGTATTTAGAATTTCTTAGCAACTTACACACACACACACATAGGTTTAACTGCACTCAAACATTAAACAGTCAACTTGACAGGTATTCAGAATTTTTTGGGAAATGCTGCGGTTATGCTCCATTGATTAAACAGGGGATCAAACAGCAGGGGATCAAACAAGTCCAACCATTCATTTATGAAAACATTTTGAACTACATGTAATTTTATGGCACACTAATGACATCTTATATGAGTGTGCTGTACTAAAAGCATAGCCCCATTGGATCCCCTTATATTGGATTATCATAATCCTAATCCACGAGGAGTTCCTTATATATCTTAAGTGATGAAACATGTGTTCAAGTACAATGTAACTTTGCATGAAAATTGTAAAAAAAAGTGAGGGACGATGGTGAAAATGACGATTGTATTTTGAAAAAAAGCTTGTTGATGGGTGGATTAAACATGGCTTATGAGATAATCCAATTGATCTTGAAACCATTCTTTGAATTTTTCTTAAAGATTATACATTGGCCTTTCATATGCATTCATTTTTGTACAGCCAGAAACTACTAGAAAAAAATTATTTACTGTCAAAAATCTGTTGCTATACTTTCCCTCGCTCTTTATGGTTACTTTATTCAGTCCTAAGGTACATGTACCTCTGCTTCACAGACGACAATATCAATAGCAATGCTACCATATAGCTACATGTTTCAGGCCCGTAGCCAGGATTTACCTGGAGGAGCGATTTTACCAAGGGGAGCTTTTGCCAAGGTGTGGGGTGAGGAGCTTTTTGACAGTTTTGGCAAAAATCACGCGAAAAGTGCCCAGAATGATTGGAAGGGGGGGGGGGGGAGAGCGGCCGCTCACTCCGCTCCCCCTTCTGGCTACGGGGCTGTGTATTACCAATGCAAATACGTACACAAAATTGAGAGATGATGTGAAGGCTGCTATGCCACCATTTTTATCAACTATAGAAGTATGAGCAGTTCCTTTAGTAAGTCTGTCATAGAACGTTTCTCCATAGTACGAAACATTAAAGGTCTGGTCATCGAATATTTTAGCTCTGGTCTGTGCGGCTGTTCTCAGTGATAGCATTTCTCAAAGAATCTGAATAATCATTTAATGAAAGAACGTATATTAAAGTGTAGATGTATGGACAGTTTAACTAGGAAGATGTCTATCCATGATAGGAATCATTAAGGTCTGGTCGCCGAACCATTTATAAACTTCGACACAAAGTTAATTTTCTTTTTTGAAATGGATACTTGCCAATCCAAAATGATCAAAATTCGAGAGACTTTTACTCATATTATAGAATTCTGAACTTCCAGTTATATATGTATATATATGAATAATATTGATAATTGTTTAATAAGCAACTACTAGATACAGAATTTAAAATACAACATATAAGATTGGCTCACATGTTTTTGGTCAACATAATCTTCATCACCTAATTTTGCTCGCTTTGCATATGCCCATTTAAAACTCTCTATAATTCGGTGGTGGCAAGGAACCGTTCGAGAGTCACTTTCGAACTCATTTTTAGAGCAGCCAGTGCTGTCAAAGTTATATCCATCTAAAATATTCAATATATATTGCAGGACGGCACTACTTGATGGCGGAGGGACACCATACACTCTGAGATCTCCATTTTGGAGCTGTGTCACCAGTGGATCCTTTACAATGGCATTGTAGCTTTTTAAATCTTGTTCTGTTATGATTCCACCTTGAAATATAAAGGCAACTCTTAAGCACGTTACACATTGTTATATACATGCATTTTTGTATAACGATTTCACATACATAAGATGAGAAATTATCATTAAACGCTATCGAGATATTATGAATCGACAACAAGGAAAACATGATTTGAATCTTGACACAGAAGAGAAAGGTAAAACAGTGAATTTTTTTTATTCATATCAGATGATACCTATTAAATGTGAAAAACAGTTTTATGCATCTTTTTTTAAGTAAAGTTAGAACATTTCAATGATAGAGTAAACCAAATTTCATGCTATTTTCTGTAAATATTTGTTCATGTTTCCCTCAGAATATTCCCCTCGCCCTTCGGCCTGAATGAATTAAAGGTGAACATGTATTCATCTCAATAGAATGGAATATTTGGTACAGATCCAATTTCACATCATTCAACATTTTGTATATAATATTCATACTAAATATACGAGGGGTGGTCCAAAAGTCATGGACGCCCTGCTCTAACGATGCTATTTTCTAATATAATAACATGAAACTTTCAGATAATAAAGATCAATATTATTATTGGAAAGTTTAAAGTAATTTTATCAAAAACCAACAAAATTAGAGCAGGGCGTCCAAGACTTTTGGATCGCCCCTCGTATTACCCATCATCTGGATTTCGTTTGCAATTGTTCTATCCAAGCTTAATGAGTCAGCAGCTATTTTCTGTAGAGATGCTCCAAGTTTTGGTCTAAACATTATGTCTCTTGCTTTATAAAGTCTTCCTTCAGCTTTATTATGGAAAGGTGCTCTAACAATAGAGAAAAGCAAAGCATACGAATTAACAAAGACGTTAAAAGACGTTAGATTGAATATTTGAAAAATTAAAATGAGACAACATATTCTCCTCTCATTTTTTTAAAAATCTCTAAAATAACTTTTAAAGTCATGAATAATCGTAATGAAAAATAAAAAAACATATTTTCAAACTTAAAATGGTGCCTTTAATGTAGTACTTAATCATAATTCGCCATGATTGTCATTAACAAAAATGAATACTCTGAATGACATATTTTTTGGTTCACTTACTCCATACGATATTCCTTTCCAGCATTTTGAAACAAATCAACAGCCAATCGTATATCTTTTTCCAATTCGTCTGTGACGACAATGCCGTCTTTGCATAGTTTTATGGACGGTGCCAAGAGGTCATTCCATGTCACTTGCCCCGACCCAAACTTTGTAAATGCTTTCCATAGTCCTCGTACAAGGCCCGGCACTGCTACCGACAATGGACCTAAGGATTAAGTGATTAGAAGCATATATTCATGTTGAATTTTCAGAGATAGCCAGCAGGCTAAACAAAAAAAATTACAATTTTAGAATATTTTTGGCTCATGTCATTCCTTGTCATGTCTATTTTCTAAAAATCACAAAAGTGCATACTTTATTCAAGGAAAACGAAAGATTTTTACAATAATGTACTATTTTTCTATAAGAATGGTTACCATTCTTATTATTTGGGAGAATTTAAACATTTTCACCCATTTTTGCACCTTGAATCATTAATAACTTCACCAATTTATAACATATTGTGAATCTTTTGGGAGATATTGTATTTGATATTGTAAGGAATAGATTGGTAGGTCAATTATGCATGTATTTCCCAAATTGCGTGCCTAATATTTCCAAACTGCTTGCCTATCCAAGCTTGTTTTGTATTACACTGCATGAAACAGGTATGATTTCGGCTAAATATGACTACATATTTGTTATATATTCTAAATGAATACAACTTAATATGCTTTAATGCGTTTGAATACTGCCAATTGAATTCATTGAATATGTGTCGTATTCTCGCCGATATGGACTCTTTTTATACAACCGAATACAACTCGTGATATTCATTTGTATTCATATCTTATATTGTTTGGATTCACTTATATACGAATGTATTCGGGCTCAATATTATTTGCATTCGTATGTATTCGGTAGTATATCTAAAACTTAATGAAACGGTATAAATGCATTCCGCAATTATAATCATGATTACATAAGCATGATAAAGACGTATTCGGTTGGATTCAATTGTATTAACACGGTACCGACACTGGTTTACAACGGATTATTATACATGTACATGTATTCAAATGTATTTGTTAGGATTTTTCACATTACTTGAATACAATATTACATATTCATGAAATATTTAGAAACATTGGGAGTACAAATTAATATTTTGGGGCAATCATAATTTGGGAGGGCAATAACATTTCAAATGATTCCTGTGTGTTCATGTGTTCATTCCTATACTATACTTAATGAGTTTACTTAATTAAGAAGAGACCAATTGTTTTATCTTAAAACATTTCAATCAGCAAAAATTGAAAATAAAACAGAATAATAAACATATAATATGGTTTTGTATTGCATACATTCTTTATTGTAAGCAGAAAATTGACATCGGTTGATGTTGATGAGTATGTTCAATTTTATAACTATTCTCAACTTTACTGATAAAAAATCAAACTAAAGTAATTGTAAACTATAGAATGTCTTAATTGTTAATACGCACTTCGTACCTAGGTTTTGATATAGACCCTGGATTTATCATTATCAACCCTATCTTACTGTAGTGCTTTTTGCGCTTTTAAAAGTCTTTGGGAAATTGTCCTTTTAGAAATTATAGAAAATATTTTTTTCATTCTTCTCCAGATAGTATGATTTAAATCTTCAGACATTCTTCTCAGACGTGAGGACGTGGGAAACTCTTATCCATAGGTAATACATTCTTTCAGTTTGCAGATTTCTGGATCTCACCACGTCCACATCCATCTGGAAAACATGAATTTATGTTTTAATAAGGGTTAAATGGAGTTTCTATTGATTCAATTAAAGTATCGGCATCACAAGAGTTATGCAAAAATAATAAATTATAAGGTATAAATAATATATTTATCTTGCTACAGTCTGGTATTATCTCGCGGTAGTCTAGTATAATCTCCGTCAGTCTTGTATAATTTCATGGCAGGATAAAATTATCTGATGGCATTATTGTATTATCTTAAAGTAGTCTGGTTTTATCTCGTGTAAGTTCAAATCATCTCGCGGCAATCTGGTATTATCTCACGGCAGTCTGGTAACCTAATGCGGCAGTCTGATATAATCTCGCGACAGTCTGGAATCATCTTGCAGCAGTGTGGTATTATCTCCAGGCAGTCTAGTATTATCTCACAGAATGTCTGGTATTTTCTCGCCGCAGTATGGTATTATCTCGCATTAGCCCGGTATCATCTTTTCAGCAGTCTGGTATATCTTGCAGCAGTCTGGTATCATCTCGCGGTAGTCTGGTAACATCTCACAGCAGTCTGGTATCATCTCGCCGCAGTCTGGTAACATCTTGCAGCAGTTAGCTGGTATCATCTTGCGGCAGTCTGGTATCAAACCACTGCAGTCTCGTATTATCCCTTGACAGTCTGGTATCATCTTGCCATAGTCAGTTAACATCTCGCGGCAGTCTGGTATGATCTCGCTGCAGTCTGATATTATCTCACTGCAGTCTGATATCATCTCGTGGTAGTCTGGTAACATCTCAGGGCAGTCTCGAATCATCTTGCGGCAGGTGGTATTATCTCCTGGCAGTCAAGTATTATCTCACAGAATGTCTGGTATTATCTCGCCGCAGTATGGTATTATGTCGCATCAGTCTGGTATCATCTTGCGGCAGTCTGGTATTATCTCGCGGCAGTCTGGTATAATCTCGTGGCAGTCACTTTACATCTCGTGGCTGTCTTGAATTAACTTGCAGTTGTCTGGAATCATCTTGCGGCAGTCTGGTATTATCTTGCAGCAGTCTGGTATTATCTCACAGCAGTCTTGTATTATCTTGCAGCAATCTGGTATCATCTTTCGGCAATCTGGTAACATCTCGCGGCAGTTTGGTATTATCTCGCGGCAGTCTGGTAGCATCTCGCAGCAGTCTGTTATCATCTTGCAACAGTCTGGTAACATCTCGCGGCAGTCTGGTATCATCTTGCGGCAGTCTGGAAACATCTCGCGGCAGTCTTGAATCATCTCGCGGCAGTCTGGTTTCATCTCGTGGCAGTTTGGTAACATCTTGCGGCAGTCTGGTAACATCTCACTGCAGTTTGGTATTATCTCGCGGCAGTCTAGTAACATCTTGTGGCAGTCTGGTATCAACTCGCAGCAGTTTGGTAACATCTTGCGGCAGTCTGGTAACATCTCACTGCAGTTTGTTATTATCTCGCGGCAGTCTGGTAACATCTCGCGGCAGTCTGGTATTCGCAACAGTCTGGTAACATCTCGCGGCAGTCTGATAACATCTCCCGGCAGTCTGGCAGTCATCTTTCTGCAGACTGGTAAAATCTCGTGGCAGTCTGAAATTATCTTGCGGCAGTCTGGTAACATCTCGCGGCAGTCTTGAATCATCTTGCAGCAGTGTGGTATTTTTTTCCCAGCACTCTGGTATTATCTCACAGCAGTCTGTTTATATGTTGCCGCAGTCTGGTATGATCTCGCGGCAGTCTGGTATGATCTCGCGGCAGTCTGGTATCAAACCACTGCAGCCTGGTATCATATCCCGGCGGTCTGGTATCATCTTGCGGCGGTCTGGTATTAACTCGCGGCTATCGGGTATCATATCCCGGCAGTCTGGTATTATCTTGCGGCAGTCTGATATTATCTCGCAACAGTCTGGTAGCATCTCGCGGCAGTCTGGTATCATCTTGCGGCAGTCTGGTAACATCTCGCGGCAGTCTGTTATCATCTTGGGACAGTCTGGTAACATCTCGCCGCAGTTTGGTTTTGTCCTGCGGCAGTCTTGCAACATCTCGCGGCAGTCTGGTAACATCTCGTGTCAGTCTGGTATCATTTTGCTGCAGTCTGGTAACATCTTGCAGCAGTCTTGAATTATGTCGCAGCAGTCTGGTATCATCTCGCGGCAGTCTGGTATCATCTTGCGGCAGTCTGGTAACATCTTGGGGCAGTCTAGAATCATCTTGCAGCAGTGTGGTATTATCTCCCGGCAGTCTGGAGTAGTAATAGTCCGAGTAAATGATAATGCAATTTTAGGCACCAAATCAGGCACGAACTTTGACCCCAGACGATTACCGAACGTTACGCCTACGTACGCCTACGCCTTACCCACGGTTTAAACGTAAAGGGGCCGCATGGAGACTGGAGACTGGAACCTACAGTTTAGTGACGTCTTACCCGAACGTAATACGGGATTCCCCAACGTTTCTCGAACGTAATACGGGATTTCCTAACAAACTTTGACCTCAGACGATTAGGGACGTAAGTCTGCGTTTCCCGATCGTTCATACGATTTCCGAACGTTTTAGTGACGCAAAAGTTGACTTCCGTGGATGACTGATGAACTGTTTGCTCGCTTGACTTCCGGAGTGAGGTCAGTGTGAATTTTCTCGGATGAGAAGCTCTGCTTGGTCAAACACGAATGATACAGTTTCGTAAAAGTAAAACGATTCTCGAACGTTTAGACGATATCCAAACGTCTTTTTGACGTCAGTGTTCCGTGGATGATTGATACTCTCCGATCGTTCGGTTGACTTTCGGAGACAATTGATAAGATAATAAAACCAAATGACAAATAATTTATCTGTTACCTATTACCTCTATAAAAAGTGACTATATAGCCTAGATTATAAAATACAAAATGGATAGAGGCGGTTTGGCACTCATTACAATGAATATGGAAATAGATAGAAACGTTGTTACTACATATTTGTTCTTTGTTTGCCTAGTATGGGAATACCATCACAGCAAGAAATCTGTATGTCACATATCAACATCCTACCAACGTTTCTCGAACGTATTCTCCGACGCCGGGTGAAGAGATTTCCTACACCCCCACAGTTCCAACGCCCCCATCCCTGGTCATATAGGACCTACTGGATGATAATGTTCAACGTTTCTCGAGCGTATTCTCCAATGCTGGATGAAATACGAGATTTCCTACACCCCCACACTTCCGTAACCCAAATTCATTCCAAAATTAGGCAATGGAACAAAGTCGTAAAGCTGGCATAATTCTCTGTCATTTTTAAGACATAATAGAATACTTTTGCTTTGATTTTGAATAGGCAAAACGTTTGTAATGCGTTTCAGAGTATTCGCTTCGTCATGTATTCTCTAAACTATTGATGTATAAGCTAGCTAAACACATAAACTATTTGATCATTCTTGGCATATATCTGAAGATTAATTACCCAAATATAACTATTTAGGTTCCAGTTCTCAGTTCAAAATCATTAAAATAAGTATAAAGTCTCACAACAACGGGACAATAATGTGTTATAAAGTTCTGAAGAAATCTGATATTTTACAAAAACAAAGAATCCTTAACGAAGTGGCGAGATTCATGTAAAAAAGAATCAAGACAATTCTTTCACATATGACTACTTTAAGATGTATTGTTGTTTAGACTCGATAAAATGGAAGATACTTACTTAAATTTTACAAGCAATAGTCAGCGTTTCTATGGATTGAAAATCCCTATAGTGAAATGGATATATGTACATTAAATGACTCGGGAAATTACAGCAAACATTAAAAAATATAGTTCTTCGTATGTACACTACATGCTCGGATTTTTTTTGTTTTTCTTAGCGTAGTATGGGAAATACCATCACAACAGGAAATCCGGAGGTCAAAGCAACCCACATTAACATAATACGACAGCCTACGTCACTCAATGTCTATCCTGGCTGTTTTGCCCATCCAGACAATGCTTTCACAGAGTTAACTTCCGCAATGCTATAAATAGATGTCAGTGTGATTAAGTACAGAAAGTTAAAAATTCGATTCCTCAATATAATATTATATATAAGGCTGATAATAGTTTCAACGCATTTCTTCCCCGTTCACATTACTATAGACATCACAGGACCATGAAGCTGGTACCCTATGTAGACAACGCGGAAAAGTGGCACAGGTTAATCAAAGCAGCCAGAGAGAATAGACTGTCGACGCAAGTAGGCTTCGGAAAAAATCGTGCGAGCTACGTACCTGTCAGCGCCATCAAAGAACCCATTCGGGTGGTATCTCCGATGCAAGCAGTTGTTGACAGAGCTAAAGCCCAAATAGAGCATCAAAAGAAGAAGGTGGAAGAAAATGATCCCTATCATACTAAGGTGTACAAACTTAAGAAACCGCGTAAAGATGCTGTTTCCAAAGCAGTGTTTAAGAAGAAAAACATTAGAAAAACCAGATTGGACTTGTATAGACCACCAGGTATCCCTGCGAGAGGGAGGAAAATGAAATAGGACTGATATAATTGTCATTTTTCTATTTTGAATTAGGCAATAAAACAGTGATAAATGTATATTTTTCTAGTTTTGTTATTATAAGAATTATATCATAATAAATAACTTTCTTACATATAAGGGAGAATTTGCTTGTAACATAGCATTGTGGAAGGGAGTGTATATCCAATACTTCAGAGGTAGCACGCTATAATTCTAAAAGAGGGTAGATTAATTGAAGCAAAAACATTTATTTATTTATTTACTAATACTCGTACAATGTGTTTCTTTTAGATCCAGTCTGCTGGGTATATCATCGATTGTCCTCATTTCTCTCGCTATCAGATTCATCTTCGCTCGTAGAATGTTTTTCATTAACTGATTGTTGTTGTTGTTCATCACTGGACTCTTCACTTGTAGATTCATCATCAGCGAACAATTCTCAAGCCAAATATGAATATTTGTTTAGTGTTTTCTTGACTGCTCTTGATTGAGTCATGCCTTTCGCCAATAGTGCCTCCACTTCATCCATAATATCACGATGAACTTCACTGTACCTTAACCCCAGTATATATGACAGAAGCTCTCCATAGTGTTTCAAGAATAGCTGTCTGGCACTAAACACAGATTTCTGTCTGACTCTTTCAACCGCTTTTTTGGATGACATTCCTCTTTCTTTATACTTCTCGACCAGTTCATCCCAATCATCTTGTAGCTCATCGATGACTTTATCTTTAATGCGATTCAAAGTTACATTATCCTTCAAGTCTTCAGTATGGAAATCACATCTCATGACATCGTTTTCATCACTTTCCCTCAATTCGGGACAATGCCTTCTGTGTTCCCTCACGTCGAGTGGTGACAACATCACTACACCACAATCCGTACAATGAGGGGTAGACATTGTCGTGGCAGGTATGTTAGGTTGATTGTTCATCGTGTAACCAATACTTGGATTCATTGTGTTGTACATGGTTGGATTCGCCATATAGTACATCCTCGGATCAGGATTCATCTTTGATTCTGCAGCGATGGATGTTGTACTGTAGTTTGCTCGGTTGATATTATCGAATGGTTCTTGATTTAAATTCACGCCTCTACTTATATCCACGCTATTACACGGTATTGTGCTATATATTGGTGTTTGGTCCTCTTTGCCGTGAGAATAAAGTGCCGAAGATACGCCTATTGGTTGTTCAATAGTAGCTGCAGCAACATCGTACAATCTCATATTTTCGGGAGTTTCTTGTTTCAGATCAACCAGTAGATGTCCATATGGGTGTTGAGTAGCCTTTTCGTAAGCATCCAATAATTTCTTCGAATTTCCAGGATACATCTGATGGGCTAATACGGCCACTTGTTGGCGATCCCTAGGATTTTTATACAACACTATGTAGTGACAGTTTAGGCTCATAGTTCTGCTTTCACGACCATGATGAAATAGATTCTGCATCAGACAGATGACACTCAAATTTCTATGGTGAGAACCCTTAGTGTAGAGCTCAGAGATTCGCTTATCTTTAGTCATATCAGCCATTAGATCGTCGAAAATGATTAGATTTCTAACATTGAAATCCAGGAAACGTTGGTCACCCAATGACTCTGGAATTCCCATGATAAATTCTATATTTTGAAAGCGGGTCTTTATTTCGACGTACATGGGCTGCCACTGTCCGAAGCACCAAATTATCCGTTGTGGGGGAGGGGTTATCTTTTTCTCCATATTTTCTATGAGTTCTTTGACATAGGTAGACTTGCCCGAACCTGTTGGACCAACCAACATCATCGTAAAGGGATGGTGAAGCATCTTTGTCCTATCACCATTGCATGGGTTAGCTGCCGAGTTTGTCATTGAATAAAATCCCCCATGATGCCGTTCGCAAGATGGCGCCATGATACGTTTTTTAGGTCCGTGATGTATTCTCTTATGACGATACATGCTGGTTTCATGACTGAATGTCTTCCCACACTCGCATGAATAGGAAGAACTATGAGGCATGTTGACTTCTCTATTACTAATAGTTAAATGCTAATATTTTCAAAGTATCACTATTAAATAATAAATAATAATCAATTAGTGAACATGCTACTGAACATTAGTGAACATGCTACTGAACAATGGTGAACATGCTACTGAATAAAAGTGGACATGCTACTGAACATTAGTGAACATGCTACTGAACAATAGTGAACATGCTACTGAACAATAGTGAACATGCTATTAAACAATAGTGAACATGCTACTGAACATAAGTGAACATGCTACTGAACAATGGTGAACATGCTACTAAACAATAGTGAACATGCTACTGAACATTAGTGAACATGCTACTGATCAATGGTGAATATGCTACTGAATAATAGTGGACATGCTACTGAACAATGATGAACATGCTACTGAATAATAGTGGACATGCAACTGAACAATAGTGAACATGCTACTGAATAATAGTGATCATGCTACTGAACAATGGTGAACATGCTATAAAATAATAGTGGACATGCTACTGAACAATAGTGAACATGCTATTGTACAATAGTGAACATGCTAGTTCAAAATTAAAAATACAATTGAAAATTTTTGAAAGGGTAAAAAGTTTGCTGTGCAAAAATGAAGTGTTCTGACATCGTATGGTCTTAAGATCGACTAAAGATGC